GCGGTGGCGTCTGGGAATTTTAAAAATTACTTTTTGTCCCTCAATGTTTATGTATTTTTCCTCTGTAAAAAGTCGCTTGACTCTCAACTATTTGATGCATGCACGACTCGAAATCGAAAATGCGTATCGCGAGGCACGTGGGTTATATGGCACGCTAAGATTTTTGAGAATGATTATGATCAATGATTCCATTATGTTGATATCATCACGCACGTTGCTACGAAGCACGAGTGCACGGCTCGTGTCCCTCGTCCTTGAGGACTTTTTTTTGTCGACAAAGAAAGCTTCGTCGTGTAAAAGGGAAAACTTTTTTTGTCGCGGAAACACAGTGTCAAGTCATCATATACGGAAATGGTGGCCAGTCATTTCCTTGACAAGAACAAACTTTTAATTCTCATGGACGAGCGAGAAGCACGAGGAGGACACCACGCTGCGTAACTATAGCTACCTATAATGAAAGAAACTATCTACCCCATAGCTTGCGAGCAAGTTCTCCAATCGTGAAAAGTAGACGCGCGAGAGGCACGCGAGAGGAGACGCGAAAGTGGCTCGGTCCCACGCGGCCTCGCCGCTCGCTCGCGCTTATTCGCCCGGATCGCTAGGAGAGCTTGCCCGCAGGCTACCTATTCCATGAAATTGTGTGTTGTGATGTGGCAAGAGGTGGGTATTGCCCTGTGTCTTTTCAATCGTTTGTATTACTTCATTTGAGACTTCTCCCATTCGTAACATAAAAAAGTACCCATATGAAAGAGATGCCAGGATGTAAGGATACTCGTCTCTTCGCCGAGGGGTACATGTCAATTGCAGATTTTGGTCTCAAGGTATTCAGGAAAAAAAATCCAATATTTTTGCCCATAATGGATTCGCTTAGGGAAGAAATGTCCATTAAAAAATAAATTATAAACAAACTGTGTAGTAGACAGCTTTGGACAGCGCGCTTATATAAACATTCTCACTGGCAGAGGCAGGGACCGAGCTTGGCCTGCCACACATCTTTAATTACTGTTTTATGAGAATTCTATGCTTAAGTTACTGCTTATTGCCTCTTCGCATACCTTGTTTAGAACTTTACATCCCTTTTAACTGCTGTAAATGTGTTATATTTTACGTAGGAATTAATCGCAAAAATAGAAAGTTTTCTCGACTCTATAAAGCCTCAAAATTCATGTGTTAGCCTTTTTAGGCCCTTTCACCGACCAAAATGGCAGATTTCCCTACCCTTTCGTATACCTGAAGCCTGAAAAAGGTCTCCCTGTAGGGCGGAACCTCCCTATATAGGCCATTATAGGGAGTACCCGCCCCCTGGGGAGAGCACTAACCATGATTAATTTGTTGTGATCTTTGCAGGCGTTGACACTGTAACTTTAAAGAATTTGCTCGGGGAATTGGTGATCCCTATAATGGCCTCAGTGTACGGGGAGGGGAGGTTCCGCCCGATGCGGTAAATCGCATCATGTCCACCCGGACTTTTAGACCTATTTTTTTTGGCCGTTCTCGTTGAGGTCGTTGTTAAGCATTACACGATTTCATTTTTGGTTTGCAGTATAGCCCTGGCTAAATCTACATACGCTTGGGCTGCCTGTTATTTGCTATGCCGACTCTGGATGTTCTTGAACGTTATCTGCGCCACCGTTTTGGTTGTTTCAACTGTTTCAAGCATCACCTAGCCTCCCCGCAGACGTCCTTTGGGGTTCGTTTGTCACACATTCATTTCACCAAGTTCTTGAAATAACAGATAAAAGGTGACGTTACACGAGACGATTCACGACGACGCGCAACACAGCGTTGCAATATTGTTCCGACATTATTTGGAATGGTTACAACATTGTTCCAACATTGCGGGGCTGTGTCCCTATATTTAGAAGGGTGATTAATTTGTCATTGTCATCTGGATTGCTGCCCAAGGAACTTAAGGTAGCGCTTCTATCACCTATTCTAAAGAAATTAAATTTCAGACTTTGAGCAGTTTAGTAATTTTCGCCCCGTATCAAATTTAAAGTTCCTATCTAAATTGATAGAGAAAACAGTGTTTGTGCAATTGAATAGCTATCTTGGCGAAAATGATCTACACGAGCCTCTTCAATCAGCGTACAAGATTTTTCACAGCACCGAGACTGCACTTCTCACTGTTACAAATGACATTATGCTGTCATTGGATAAGGGCGAGAATGTTTTCCTTGTTTTATTGGATCTGTCGGCAGCATTTGATACTGTTAACCATTCCTTGCTGCTGGCACGACTGCAGAAATCATTTGGCATCAGAGGAACTGTACTGCAATGGTTCGATTCTTATCTTTCTCAAAGAACTCAGTTTGTAAACATCAATGAGGCGAATTCTACGGTACAGGATCTTCCCGTGGGTGTTCCCCGAGGTTCAGTTCTGGGACCTGTACTCTACCTTCTGTTTACTGCGCCACTTGCTAAAGTGATAAGATCTTATGGCTTAGATTATCATCTATACGCCGACGATACTCAGTTATACTTTGCATTCAAATTGGTGGATGTGGACGCTGCTAAATCGAGGGACGAGAACTGCATTTCTGCAATATGTCGCTGGATGGATCTCAACGAATTGAAGCTAAACTACGACAAGACGGTGGTCATGCTCATCCACTCAAAGTATCGTCCCTCTCCATCCTTTCAGTCCTTATGTGTTGGTGATGAGAGCGTGGCTGCATCTCAGTCGGCTAGGAGTCTTGGTGTTATCTTTGATGAGCACATGTCTTTTCATGCACATGTGTCTAGCATCTGTAGATCATCATTTTATCATCTCAGGAAACTATCTAGAATTAGGAAGTATTTTACTAAAGAATCAGCAGAAGTTGCTGTTCATGCATTTGTCACATCGAAACTAGATTACTGTAATGCATTGCTATACGGCCTACCTAAGTATCAGTTACAAAGATTGCAGTATGTACAAAACACGGCGGCTAGAGTTGTGTTGCAAGTGAGTAAGTTTCAAGCTGTTTCAGCATATCACACCTGTTTTGTGTGAGCTTCACTGGCTACCGATTCAATATCATATTATTTTCAAGATTCTGATCCTCGTGTATAAATCACTGAATGGGACATCGCCTAGCTATTTAGCTCAGAAACTATATTATCGTTCTCATACTAGATGATTGAGGTCTGTTAGTAATGAACTTTTAATGCAACCTAGATCGTATACCAAGACCTACGGAGATAGAGCATTCGCTGTTCATGCACCAAGAGAATGGAACTTAATACCCTATGAAATTCGGAAGTCCAACACCGTCTCGAGTTTTAAAAGATCACTTAAGACGTACTTGTTTACCAAATTCAGTAATAACGGATCATTGTTTTTATAGATTTGCATATGTTCCGTTAGTTTTAATTTACCCCTTTTTGTATCATTATGAATAAGATGGTTTAATAGTTGCTTTAGTTTTAATTTTTTCCTTTTTTATTCATTGTAAATATAATAGGATATGGTTGTAAATTTGTAAATATTTTTCAATAATGTTGTTTACATGACTATAAAGCACCTTGAACATAGGATAAGAGCGCTATAGAAATAAAGTTATTATTATTATTATTATTATTATTATTGTGCTAAAAATCGTCCTTACAAATGGTCCTGTGTAACATTACCTTAACAGCAGTTTGATCCTTGTTGTAATTAACCCATTAACAGAAAAGTCAAAAAGGCCAAGTTCAGCTCAAAGAATGTTCTTAGTACGGCATCGTTAAAATGAACTAAATCGCAGTGATGCAAAATACTGCTAAAGCCGAATCGTACACAAAACCCGGGGGGTGGAGTAGGGGGACTCCCATATAAAAAAGAAGAAGATGCTTGTCGTCTCGCTTTGGGGTGTAAATTGCAGATTTTGGTCTTTCTTAGGGTGTTTGGGATGGAAAGTAATTTGCCCATTCAGGTATCGCTTAGTACTGTACATAAAAAAATTTACAAAAATGCCCTGACACTAGCCTCCTAACAGCAGACGTATTTCCGGTCGTCGCTTCGCAGGCTACCCTGACACTGACCACACAGAAATCTCCCTTAGGGGCCAGTTTAAGCTTGAGGCACACCCACATTGTTCTCCCTTGGGAGTTTAGTTTAAATTTTCGGACGAACATACCCCTCACTTTTATATGGGAGTTTCCCCCGGGACACAAAACCACTCACATGGTAATTTAAGGATTTCAGGCCGTCTCAACTTCAAAATAGACAACCATTTGCTAGAAAACTATGCAATACCACTTGTAAATCACGTCGAGTTGAATTAGCCACAAAAGGCTAAAATAGAAACAAGCTTTAGTATCAAAAAAGTTAAGTATGCAAGTTATTCAGTGTTACTCAACCTTTGTTTTTCTTATTTAAGCCTATTACTTGACATTTTGGTTCTCTTTTGTTCGATTTCTATTTAAACAGCCGGAAACGTAAACATTCTCGAGGATACCATACCATCTGGTTGTAGTTTTGGACGTTGGATATTAAATGGCAGCTTCAGGAACAGTAGGTTTGGTGTTTCCTGCAAACCGGTCTGGGGACGAGCTACGGGCCTTAAAGTCAAGTGCATAGTCGGCAGGATGACCATGAATACTATGAAAATTTAGTAGGAACGATAACAACAACAACAATAATCTTTGTTTACATGACTATAACAGAGTTTTACATATTTACAAAAGTTGCCAATAATTCTTGATTCGTTAATTAATGAAAATGAAGCGACTGAAAAATTAAATAAAATGAAGTGGGTCATTTCTTATATATCTCTCTCACCGCTGTTCATGCAGTAGGAGTAATTATTTTTGCTACATATTTGTCCCCCAATTTGAAACATGATGAAATAAATGAAAATAATTGGATTTTTTCACCCTTGCTTCTGTACAGATGTCCCCTCCCCGCTAAAAAAAAAAACCGTTTCACAGCGCGAGTTAAGAGGGGACTGGGTCAGAGCCTGTCACGGATTATCATATTGAAAGCGAACAGCAGAAGCGGCGGATTTTGATAGTCTGATTCACGAAAACAATCTTCATTCATCGCGCTCATAGTTTCTAGTCTAGATACAGTGCATACTTAAAACTATAAAACAGATATTTTTTTCTATTTGGAACCGTTTTTTTCTCCACATAGCGGCGTAAGAAAGCGAAAATTTCGACTTGTCGCGTCGTCAGCAATGGCAGCAACGAAAACGGAAGCAGTCCCATCCGCTTTGCGAAATGCGGGCAAGTAAGTGCTTGAAATTGCAAATCAGTTGTTGCAACGTAGTGCCATAAACCTCTTCAGTACATTAGTTAACAAGTTTTCTTTTTAACTGTCTTGTCAGGGAAGGACGCGATTCATGGAAAGCAAATTTGAAAGCTCCCGCGAAGGATACACGCATTCAAACAACTGTACGTATTCAAGCTTTTAACAACCCCTCATATAAAAGTTGTCGTTTGTTTTTTGTATTCCCAGATTAAGGTGTTTTGTTGAACATGCGTTGATTTTAATGAGAAAGGATATTGTTCAATGTTATGTTCGTTGGTTTTGTCGTAAGCGAAGTGAAATATTAGTACATGTACACAGCCACTAGTCGAGGAGTTCATAATCCAAGCCACCAACAGAAATTTAATTAAGAATTGGTTCTGTGAACCTGTTAAGGTGCCCCTGTAGTCGATAGCGTGGTCATTGTACTTTCCGTCTTATTTTTTTTCTCTTTTTTATTTTAATTTAGGTTGCTAATGTTTCAATTTTATTTTTCAACCTGAAAATTTGACATGTCACGAAATACCCGGATGTCTTCGCCCCCTTCGTGGCCTCGTTTTACCCTTGACGTTCATGGAATAATTCGTGGGAGTAATTCCCATTTATGAGAGAACCTGCACAGAGCAAAAGGAAAACACTGCAAATGTGTGTCTTGCCCTTTGAATAGACTGCATCACAGATTTAATTTAACCTTGGTTCGTAACGTGTGCGAAACAGTACCAAGATCCTTGGTCTGGGTCCCTTATGGACTCAGCAAATTACCGGAAGTGTGTTTCAAATTTCTCTTCAACATGATTGGCAAATCCGCTATGGCTTTTTTTAACAGGCCAATCATGGCGCGAACTCAAATCCTGGTTCACAGGTGGGGACCCAGAACAAGATTTTGGCACTGTTTCGCAGACGGACTTAACCAGAGTTTAGTTTCGTTTTTGGTGCAGGCTACCCCTTGAATTATTGCAAACGGAATAGTGCAATAATTAGACTCGCAAACAAAAATCTTGGATTATATAGTACTCACATTAAGGAACCTACTCGAAAACCTTTCTGTTAGGCTGATGTCATAAAGACAATGTGACAACATTGACGGAGCTACATACCTACAAATGTAGATGATTTGGCCAATGGTGAAATGACAAATTGAGCTGTTGCATTCATTCCTTTCCTCGCATGTTTGTGTTCTCATCAGGTTGCATTGTCTTTGCCAAATCTGCGTAGTGATAACAATGTACCCAAATGTTTTCTTCCTCCAATAAAATTTCCTCTATAACAGGATGTTACAGCAACCAAAGGAAATGAATTTGAAGACTACCTTCTTAAAAGGGAGCTGCTCATGGGGATATTTGAAAAAGGTTTTGAAAAGCCGTCACCCATACAAGAAGAAAGCATTCCCATGGCTTTAGCTGGAAAGCACATTTTAGCCAGAGCTAAAAATGGAACTGGCAAAACAGCAGCTTATCTGATACCACTTTTGGAAAAGTGTGATCCTGATAAGTCAGAAATTCAAGGTGGGTCGCAGATAGTTTCTGGGTTTTGCCGCAAAGTTGTTTCCTGTTTTAGCGTGCAAAGAAAGTTGTGTTCAGTAGCCTGGAGCTAGTGGATTTTGCTATTGGGCTAGTGAATCCTGTACTTTTTCAGGCAAATGTAAGTGATTCTTGGGCCAGTAAATGCTAGCTGCAGCTTGCCCGAATAGCAATCTGTAAAACTGACTTTCTTTGCACTCTGCATGTTTCTTTTTCAATTGGTTTGGGTGCTAGCATCACTGAGGGTTTCACAGCTTCTTCTGAGCTCTATAAGTGGTTCAGTTCTCCAACCTTATCACATAATAAATTTGTCTGAAGCAGCCCATATCATTCATCTATAAAAAAGACTCAGAATTTCATTAATTTGGCTGCGAGAAAATTCACATTAATTTAATGGTTTGTAAGAGTTTGAAAAGCGCTAACTCATTTCCTCATGGAAGACACTTCCTTATTATTACTTGAGATAATTAACTACAACATAAACATTGATTAATGTCATCAGTCTGCTGAGGTGCAGATGCCTTTCTTGGCAAAACATCCCTAGTGGTGAGGAGAGATGGCTGTTTTTGCAGGCTATTATCCCCTCAGTCTTGTATTTGACACCTTGCAAAACTAAAAAATATTTATCTCTGTCAGCTCTCGTCCTGGTTCCCACACGTGAGCTTGCTCTTCAGACGTCACAGATATGCAAAGAACTTGGCAAACACCTTGGTGTGCAAGTTATGGTTACCACAGGAGGGACAAGTCTCAAAGATGACATTATGAGACTCTACAATCCAGGTACCTACAGTAAAGTAGTCTGCTTCTAGATTAGAATATACCCTTTGATAGTTTTTTCAAGTTTTGATTGGATCTAGTAAGTGAAAATCTGTCAACACAACTAGAAAGAAGGCCTTAAAATCAGTTAAATTGTTACGTTCTTGGGTGATTTGTTTGAAAACTAATGAAGACATTGCTCTGCAAAGTCAGGAAATATAACAGACGTGGTTATGGTGGGGGGCAAGTTTGTGCCCCCACCATACAAACCTCTGTAAAATTTTTGTAACTCTGTGGAGCAATATCCTTGCTCGCTTTAGACGTATCACCTTTGAACTTGGCAAGTTTATTGTAAGGCGCTCTACTGATGTTGATGGACTTTCACCTGCTGGCCTCTACTCTTTTAACATGCTTTGATGCTACTGACTTTGTATTGCTAAGAGTGTATACTTTTGAAGATACGATTTTAGCTTGCTTTTTGAAGGCATGTCTTTAGCAAATTCATTCTACAACTTGTGCATTAACACTGTTCCCAAATGTATGGCCTTCTTTGCAGTTCACATTATTATTGCCACTCCTGGTCGCATACTTGACTTAATGAGAAAGGGAGTAGCAAAAATGGACTGTTGCCAAATGCTTGTTATGGATGAGGTAAGTGATTCTTTGAGAGAAGTGTTACCAACTTTTGGGAGTTAATGATGGCTGGATATTGGGCAAATTCTTTTTTTCCATTCAGGGCTGTTATTAAGAGGCAGGGGCTGGGGATTTCCCCTGGCTACTATGAATGTGGTTCCTGGGTACTTTCATAGGAAAAATAGAAGAAAAACGGAACCAAAAGAAATCCCTAGCTTCTTGATTCCCTGCCTACTAGCTGTATTTACCCGGTAACTTAAAATCTTAGTGACATCTCTGGCATTTATTGTAGACACAGACAATGTCAAGGTCATTGAAAAAGCAAAAAAAGTGAAGAAGGCCATTATCCAGTCATCTTGACCAAACAAGCTTGGTCAGTAAAGGATTTATTGGGGAGCTTAAGAAACAACAATAAAAATGGTGGAGAAGGTGTGGCAAGAAAATAATCTGGAAGAAGATTAAACCGATGGGCTAATAAATTGAGATTCCTCCCCCAGCATTTTACAGGCTGTATCTTAAGTACATAACCCTACAGTTAAACCTCTCCACAAGGGCCACCTAGGGGAGAGAAGAAAGTGGCCATTGTAGTGAGGTGGCTGTTGTAAAGAGTTTTAAACAAGAGTCAATGTAAGGACCGCCCATCAAAAAAGTGTCTGTTGCGGAGAGATGGCTGTTAGTGGAGGTTCGACTGTACATAATTTCTTTTTATTTTTAAGGCTGATAAACTGTTGTCCATGGACTTTAAAGGAATGTTAGAGGATATAATTGGTTTCCTTCCCAGCAGCCGACAGATTCTCTTGTACTCTGCTACATTTCCTCTCTCCGTCAAGGAATTCAAGGTGAGCTGCAACATTACAGTCAAGCCAGATCAAGCTCACCGATTCTGTTGATGAATTTATTATTTGAAAGTTGAATGTGTTGGTAGTTGGAGATTTCAGATTCATCTCTGCATTCATGCATTCGTAATGAGCAGTGAATTCAAACGTGAAGAAGGTATGAAGTTCTACCATCTAAGTGTTCTTGAATCCTGATGGAAATGTCTTCAAAGCTATTTTGTCCATTCAAAGATTTTTTCATTCTGATGGAATACAGTGAAGTTATCATAAAAAAATACTGCTCATTACGAATGCAGGAATGTAGATTAGAATTTGATACTGGTTGCCGCAACGACTAATGTTTCATTTTTCAAATAGTGAAATCTATGGGGAGAGCTTGACCTGGCATGACGGTAATATGGACAAATCCTTACATTATTCAAGTCAGTACATTATATAAACCTGTGTTGCTTTAATTCTGCAGGATGAGCACTTACCAAAAGCCTATGAAATAAACCTTATGGAGGAGTTAACTTTAAAAGGAATAACCCAGGTAACTAATAATATTATTTCTTTACTATTAATATAATTTCTCTATTAATTATTAATAAAGAAATTATATTAATAAAAGTCACTGAATTGACCTTATTCACGATACATGCCATCTTTGCATGTGCCAGTGATTTTTTTTACCTCTGCGTCTTGCGTCCCTGACTCGTAAAAATCCTCCAAAATGCAAAATTATTCATGGCATGCATCCCATAGGCGAATAAATTGATTGATCAATCTGAAGATGTTTTTTAGAACATCCTGAGGCTGTTGTTAAGCTATGCATATGTATTTTTGGTGATTTGAATGGAAGGACTATAAAATATTGCAGTAAAGTGTAATAAAGAGTTTTGGAGTCTGTCTGCAGATTAACTGTCTAGTTACAAGCATTTTCAATTTGAGACTCTCTATTAAAGGGGCTATGTCACCCAACACGCATGCGCGAGCCAATGAAAACAAACTTGAAAAAGTTGGTCCGTCTTTTTCAAGTTCTGTCGGAGATTTTGGAAGGCTGTTTTTATCTGTCTAAATCTCAGCCATCGTTCGATAGTTAGCAAAGTTTTGTATTAAGAATCGTTCTATGGTGATTACAGAATAATTTTTTGGCGTTATTTTGAAATTGTTTGCCTGTGGAATGTTTTTACGTGGATTTAATGTGTCCTCTTATCAGCGGCCGTTGTAATGGCAGAGTTAATGACGGCTACTCCACAATGAGTGATGGAATCTTTGATGGAATCTTCCCTATAGTTCACAGAACCTTTCTACTGAGTTATTTTAGAGGTTGCTGGCTCTTGGATTTTTCTTGTGCTCAAAGTATGTGGACATATAATGAAGCGACTATCGAGTTGGCGGCGGCCGTTTTTGGTAAACGATTACAAGAGCATCAGGCCATGAGTTTCGAGACCAAACTAAACTCCTGGCGAAGGAAACATTATAAAATTCGGCTAGATTCCTTCTTGTATTTATCTGGATTCACGGCAAAGATAAACACGACCGTTTGCTCCTTTAGATTGTTCTCAACGGACTTGGAGAGGCACCTTAGTACGAGTTAGATCCTGTAAATGCCATGTTTTTGAACTGTTTGTGTTCGAGCATATTAATTTTTGGAAAATAGCAGAGTTTACTTTCCCTTTTTATCAACGGACTGCTTATAGTGGAGTAGTATACCAATGATGCTTGGTTCTGTTTTTCTCGACGTCGCAGTGATTCGGAACGATCGAACAATTTTGCGCGATAAATTTTGTATGTTTCCCTAAGATCAAAACAAAGACTTGATGTCTCTTGTTCTATCAGCATCTAAATTATAAAATCACTAGCGACAGACAAGTCTAATTGTTAATGATTTGAAACAGTCTTGGTCTTTATCTTTGGTCTAGCGTCTTTTGTAGCTCGTTTGTAAAATACAACTTCGATTTATTTTGTTGAATAAGACAATATGTTGTTGTTGAATTTTTGTTTGCGCACCATTTTATGAATGGCATGCGTTTTTACTCCAAAACTACAAGTAAAATTGTCGTCACAATTTTATTCTTGATCTAGCATAACCAGAGAAGAAACGTTTCGCTTGTTAACCTCGTCGGAGCCTTGAACGTGACAGAGAACATGGAGAAAGTCACGCGTTAAAAACAATAGAATTTTGACAGTTGGAAGTAATTTGCATAACCTCAGAGTGCACATGGAGAAAGTCACGTGTTAAAAACAATAGAATTTTGACAGTTGGAAGTAATTTGCATAACCTCAGAGCGCATGCTCTCCAGCTGACATAGCCCCTTTAATTGAACCAGGACTCAAGGCCAGTTATGATGATGTCATTTTACTACTACAACCAGAATCCTTCAGCTTTTGCTTTCTTGTGCAGGTTTAGGATTCTGTTATTTAAACCTCACTGGCCATGGGATTACCAAATTTAAATATGAAAGAAGAAACAAAATGAATTCTGGTCTTGGTAGTTAAAAGACACCATTGTGCAAATGGCCTATTAAAATTGTGATGCTGGTTTGTCAAGTGTACACGTTCAGAAGCTGTCCACATTCTTCTTTACTCCTCTTGTTATTTTCCGCTTCTAGTATTATGTATTCCTTGAAGAGAGACAGAAAGTGCACTGCCTAAACACGTTGTTTTCCAAGGTAATGCGTTTTGGTGCGTCCTTAGTGACCATTTTTACAAGCTCCTGTGCATTTATTTCTTCATTTTATGGTTCAGATTTATGAAATTCATATTATTCATTATTATTTTCATCTTCAACTTTCCCAGGCATATTATGAATCAATTTAATGTATAGCGCTGTAGCGGTGTTGCAGAGGTCAGGGATTGAATCCTGGCAAGACTGAATTGTTTCAGGCTTTCTTTTCACAACTGCACAAGTTTTGAGGATCTTCTTTACATTTTTTTCCTGTTATTTCATTAACTAACAGTTCTAATAACATATTTTGGTTTCAGCTGCAAGTGAATCAGGCAATAATTTTTTGCAACTCAGTTCAACGTGTGGAGTTGCTGGCCAAGAAGATCACTGACCTCGATTACTCCTGCTTTTTCATTCATGCACGGATGGACCAGAGTCATCGAAATAGGGTGTTCCATGACTTCAGACGTGGAGCAACAAGAACCCTTGTATCCTCAGGTTGGCCAATACTTCAGTGTTCACCTAATAATGACCAAATTTACATTTTATTTACTGAATCAGGGGTTTCAATAAGGTTATACATAGGTGGCAAAAGCTTTGGAGTAGACGGTTAACGAAAAAGGCGCGAGTTGCTAGGGGGTCTGGGGGCATCCCCCCTGGAAAAATTTTGAAATCTAGGCCTCCTAAAATGCATTTCCAGCATTTTGGATCAAAAATTAGACTGTTTGAACAGAACACGGACATAATTAAATTTTGGCTTTTTTATTTGGTGACATCAAATGAATGCTGTATTTAAACTGGGGTAGTTTCCAAAGAATAGCAGGCGGCGAGTTCATGTGAAACAGCCGGCAAATGTCACCGGTCGCCAGTTCTTTTTTAAAACTGTGCTGAATAGACTATATTCACGATACCCGCCATCTTTGCACATGGTTAAGGACTGATGGGATAAAAACAATGTTAAGTGGTTTCTGAGGTTGTGAACTATTACTATTAAATCATTGTCATGTTATGACTGTAAGAACAAACAAACTCCTCCACAATAATTACTCGTATGGGCAAATTTTATCACTTGTTTGCACCCTGAAATACCATCTGACACTGCTTTTATCCCACTGATACTAAAGTGTGTGCAAAGTTGGTGGGTATCCTGATTCATGAATAACTTAGGATTAAAAATTGTTTCAGTGAAAATGGTTTGTTATTGCATTTTCATGTTACTTTCTTCCAAAGCTTGGATTACTTTAAGTGGAAAAGATTTGATTATAGCTCACTGTGTTTAACTATTTGCTTTTCATTTCTTCAGATTTATTCACCCGTGGAATTGATGTCCAGTCTGTCAATGTTGTGATCAACTTTGACTTTCCCAAAAATTCTGAGACCTATCTGCATCGTATTGGTCGCTCAGGCCGATTTGGACATCTTGGTCTTGCTATAAATCTTATCACTAACGATGATAAATATGACTTATACAAAATCGAGACAGAACTGAAAACAGAGATAAAGCCATTCCCTCAAGTTGTGGACAAAAAACTCTATGTGGCAGAGTTTCAGCAACAACCGGAGGATGAAGACTAAGTGCAGATGAATTCTGGTAGGAAAACTTATAACAGGCATTCAAGATCATGGTCTTTTGAAGTATTAATTTTGTAACGAATGGAGTCAAGATGTTATAGTGTTATTGAAGAGTTAGAGTAAGATGAAAAGTTTGGAACAAAGTTGACAAATGTCAGGTGAGATAGTCATTGTACTTTTGAATACACTGGGGCTATAATGGCTACGAATAAGAATATTCCTTACTTGGCATAAAAGTTGTAAAGCAAATTCATGGCATTCTCTTTTGTTTGTGATAGTGCTAAAAGCACTTTGTTTCTTTTTTGTTTATCTATTCTTGTTCTATTTAATGAGTGGAAGTACTAGTATGGGTTGTTCAAAAACAGCCTGAGTGCAATTGAAAATTGCATAAATTAATAATCATTGTGTTGTGGTTTGTTGTTTGTTTGGTTGGTTTTATTTGTTTGAGTTTCTGTCATAATCTGAAACAAAGCATAATGAAAATAAGGCACTTTTGAATTAGAAACCCTTCAAAAAATCAAACCACAACACCTACCTTAGTGAAAAGAATTTGCTTTACCAATAATGATATTGGCTGTCCCTACTTGCTTCATATTATATTCTTCTTGCCTGTACTTTACTTATATTCTCCTACCAGAGTTGCAGAGGCACACAAGGAAGCTTCATAGAAGCAAATTGACCTTGACACAAATATTAAGTATTTAAACCTTTCTGATATTCAGGAAGACAATCGTGTAGTTTGTGTTTGTGATGTACGTGTAAGAGGAAGCTTGCCACTGTCACCTTCTCATAACATTGTTTACAATGATCACCAGTTTTGTATTATTCATTCTGCTCTGCCAAATTTTTATAGTTATTTTTGCTTTAATTGTTAGTGACATAGAGCTATCTGAATTGATTCTTGTTGTTGGTCAGATTGTTTTCAAAGCAAAGTGAGACTACAGTGTAACATGACGTTAGTGAATGTTAGCCCTTTCATCCCTTGAGTGAAAAAATGGATTCTTGAAAGGTGGTTGCAACTTTTGAGTCTGTAGACAAAATCTTATGGTGTGATCTTTGAGAGCACCTAAACATGTTATCAATATTTTGTTTTTCCATTACCCTTGGTACTGGGAGGTTTTTTTCTTTTGTATGTGTTGGGATGCTTCAGTGTTAGCCAACAGATCTTTGGCCAAAGCTACAAGCAGCCAAATGGTCGTTATAAAGACCTAATAGAAACCGGAAACTTCATGAAAACTCCTCCGGCACTCAGGGTATTTTTTCATTGTGTTACAGAGTGAACTTTAAATTTTTTTGGAATTGTGGCTTTGTCCACTTCAGGGATAGGAGCCTTCCATTAGTTACAAAATGTTTCACTTCCATCACTGTTGTTTTCATCATTTTGGATTGCATGTTCTTCATCTATGAATAGTATTACATTCCATTACAAAATTAATGAGTGAATCATAGCTGTGAGGGAAGATTCGGTTTAATCTGTTCTGCTTAAGTGAGGGTGACAGTGAAAAGCCAGTAGGATTAACATTTGATTGTAGCCTGTAACTAAGAACTGTCGTGAGTAACAGATGAGCTCCAAGCTTGTAGGAAAGGTTGTAGTGTGGTAAATTTAACTCGTGCTTCGGAAACTACTCTCTTATTTTAGCAGCTGAGAAAAGGCTAGATAGACAGTTTTTGATATTTGCAGTGGTAGAAAAGGTCCAACGTTGGTGAATTTAGGGCCTATAGCAAGCATGCTTTAGGGTTTAGAAAAAAAAAGTTACTGAGCTGTGAATGTGGCACATTTTAAGTTGAGCAGAGTGCTGACATTTTATGACAGGTGTTTTACTGGTTCTCATATTTCGCTGTTAAAGTATTTGAGGAACAGAAGGAACATGATATGAGAAATAATATTGTAAAAGGGCTAGTGAACATGCCCATGAGAAAAAAATGCCCGCAGTTTTAAATGAAGACTAGTTTAAAGCAATCGTCATGAATTGTAAGGTTGTTAGAGAAACAGAGTGAGCTTCAAGCTATAGTAAATCCTGGGCATTCTCTGATTTTCCCTGAACTTTTAAAAATTAAGATGGTTAGGATTGATCTGAGACTCGCTTTAGTAGTGTGAATTCATCTAAGGACCTTAATGCAAAGCTCAGTGTTTTTTGGAAAGGATTCAAAGAAAGCAGTGTGTTGAAGTTTGGAGCTTTTCGTTGTTACATGTATGTTCATGTGTATTGTGTGATTATTTATTTGTTATAAACTTGTACATATGTATATAATACAAATTATAACTGAGTTCAGGATTTATTTTCCGAGGGACTTTGGTGTGGAAGGATTGTCAAGCATTTTGCTTGAGATGAAAAGTTAAGAATGCTTTTTTTTTTGCAAAGATAGATCAACAACACCCCCAAAAAAGAAATTGTTACATGGTTTTGCTCTCTCCAAGCATTCAGTAACTTTTTGCCTTTTTGTGGGTAAGAACAATTATTTTGAATTTGTATTTCTCTACTAAACACTTGGTAGTTGAATTTCCATTCTTTCATCTTCAGTAATACAAGATTAATTAATCTTAAAAATTATTGTCAGTGCTAAGTCAAAGTCTATAGTTCACTATTACTGGTAGTACTTAAAAGAGTGTCCAGAAACCAGTCTTGTTGGCTGGTATGCTGTTGTAGCACTAATGACTAAGATTCAAAATAACAACTAGACTTGATTACTGCCCTTCATTTAAGGTGTGGCACTGGGTGGGACCTGGGAGAGCATGGGTACATTCCCCCAGAGCCAGCGAGTAATCAAGCCTAGATAATGCAGATGGAAGGCTGAAAATATCTTCCTTGGTGTTCTCAGCTTGAAGGTGAAGTTAGTAACATGCCGCTTTCTGTTGTTACTTGCCTACAATATTTCAGACAGACTTGTTCTCAAGTTGAAAAAATAATTATTTACTTACAAATTCAAGTGATTGTAGGATATAGCATAAACTTTATTTTTCTATCAACAACTTGGCTAGACCGTGTAAAATGAGATTTTACACAATTTATTTAGATCCTAAGTCTGGCAAATTTAATGGAACAAGCTATTGTACTGCTTTTGTGTTTTATCTCACAGAATGACACAACATTTTTGTCCCCAGAGTCCAAGAGGGAGTCTATCCAACCATCATAGTGATGACAGCAAAAACGTCTCTCTCTCTCTCTCTTTTAAAATTTTAATGTTCTCTGACACTGCAGCTTGGTTATTCTCAGGTTGTTAAAATGTCGGTCAGTTTTCCTTGAATTGAATTGCTAGGGACCACTGAAGGAGAAATTCGTGTTGTCGTTGCAAGGGAATAGCAAAGAATTGGCCGAAAAAGTGTGTTGCACTTGGAGAATTGCTGTTTTTTTTTTTAGAGTTAGGCTAATTAAATCCATTTGTTTTCTAACATTTCATTGTTGTCATCACTGTAGTGTGTCTAGGCTTCCTTCTGCTGCAAGTAGTGGGCAAAAAGAAAAGTTAAAAGCTAACTGGCTTTGGGGGCCAGTTCCATGACAAAATTAGTTAATTTTTTTGGAGAAACTTCTGTAATATCTAAACAAAACAGAAGATAGTAATTTAACTGCTCTGAATTAGTCTTGTTCCTTCCAAATGGGAAGTTTTCCCACGGGCCATTTAAAAAGCTTATGGCTATCAACAAGTACAGGAGTAAAAAACCAAGGGAGATCAATCTGTCCATAAACATTTCTGAAGAATATCTTTAAGGTAGGTTAGTCAAGTACACTTTAGGAGTCAAATAACTTTTCTTGTAATCCAAAGCTCTGATTTACCATTATCTTTGAAATTAATGTTTCACGAAACCTCCCTGTCTTTATCAGTTTTTTGGGTGAGACAGTTTGAAATCATTTCATGTCTTTTGTAAGTGTTCATAGTGCTGCAGACCGATTTCTTTTGTAGGAGAATTATTTATTTTATTCTCTTTTTCATCCTCAATGCTTCTGTAAAGAGAATTGTTGAGAGCGTAAGATCCCCTTGACGACTGAACTTGTATGTTCTGGAAAGATTTCTAGAACCTTATCAGCTCAGAGATATCCAAGGTGCAGGCAGAGAAAAGCTCTGAGCATTCCATCATCAATGTCTCTGCCTCAATTTTAGTTTTGCGGAAGATCTCGTTAAAAAAAAAAAAAACAGGAGAGATCTGCAGTCACTCTAGTGATAAATTAAGATCTGCATGGCAACTTATTCTATATGCCAAGTCTGCTTCACAGATATGGCTCTTAGATGTCTGGGTAATGTTGATTGTCCATTCATATTACTCATTACTCATCTGCCATTTGTGTACTTTCAAGGTACAGTCAATTCTTCATAAGAAACATCTTTTAGTTCATAACTTATGAAGAGACGTAACACAGTAAAATTAATGTGTTCGCCAAATCTTTTTAGTTTGTTTAGCTTCTCGCAAATGTATTAACACAGTTGCCAGCATTTTAAACTGACTTAGTTTTATGTTAGTTTCTGTTGTGTAAACTTAACCAATTTCTTTGTTTGTTCTTTTGTATTTGTTTTTTCGCTAGTTAGGCTTTCTGCAAATAACAATGTTGGTAATTTTCCAGGTGGCAACTATCAAATCTTGTAGACCCACTCTAAATAAGGTTTGATCACTAAGTTTTTTTTATATTACCATGATCTGTGCAGGGTTTCAAGATTGATAAAGTTATTGGTCTCTCACTCTATCATCAAATCATGTGCGTAGTTTGTTCATATAACTTTTCTTTACATGTTTTGTTAAAAAAAATTAATTGTATGTTCAATTTTCTGTTGTAATGATTATCATTATTGCTGTTGTTATTAGTTATTTCCTGTTGTAGCTGTAACTTCTTCGGAGTGGAGTTTCACTTCTCTGCTCAGTTACTCACAAGGCAATGTGGCTACCCCATCTTCTAACCAGAAAAATACAGAACTTAAGATTCAAAGTTCTAAGAGGACAAGATTTTCTAAATACTAAGTAGTACACACACCTGAGCCAGTGTCATTTTGGTGGGAAAATGCAATAGCCATTATCATTATACTACAGGTTTTGCAAAAGTTACGGAGTGACAAAAACGAGGCATCAAAAATTAATGTTAAAAGTAAATCATTTTTTTTTATGGGGTGAGCCAATTTTTCTAGTGAAAAAAAAAGTAAAAGAAAGCTTTTCAAGGTGTCTTGTCAAATCTCTTAGTCGTCCTTGTCCTTGAATCTAAAGGACTCTGATGAATTCTTGGAGGGTTGACTATAAATCAGAATGATATGTTATAGAAAAGTGATATTGCCTCTATTAATAGTAAGAATTTGTTGTATTGTTCAGTGAGCGGTAGCTTGAAAGACCTTAAAAGTAATCTTTCTCCCAGATTTGCTTTTGCCATACAAAGAACACTCTCTTTGACTTGAACTTGGCCTTTTTGACAATTTATTATTCAACACACTTATGATTCCCAGGTCTTCAGATTTGGTGGAAAGATTACTTAAAAGTTTGGTAAAAAATACAAAAAAATAGAAAATGAAATTTTACACTTTGCAGTTGCAGTTTGCTTTCTGGAGAAATCAAACTGTCAACACAATTTAGCCCCATTATTAACTCTAGAAGATAGACTGATATATAACTAGGGAGAAGAAGTAATTTTAACTCGGTAACCTCCATCTGAACTCTTTTTCCCTGAAAACAATGAAAGCGCACAAGGGTTAGTACATCTTAAGAGTAAAATTGGGACTTGATGTAATTTCCATATGAGTGTGGGGCTAAACGATATGATGACTTTATTCAAAGGGCATGCAAAGAGACCGTTATAAGAGTAGTCAATTGAGTAAAAGATTTATTATGATATCTAATAATGAATTTTTTTTCAGTGATTTTGCTTTCTTAACTTCTTAATTAACAAAAGCTGAAATTTGATGATTTATGTGTTTTATTACTACTTTTACAGGGGTATAGTTTTAAGCCCAACCTGACAATGACGAGAATCAAATTTCTACTTCTATTGCCAATTCCAAGAAGTCTAATAGATCATAGAAAATTGAGGCTAAGTTATCCCTTCAAGTCCAAGAGTACCAACATCAATTTTCTTGTAACGATATCAGTATATAATCAAAAGAAGAGGTTATGAGAAACCGTAAAATGATCAGGAAAGGAAACTCCTTTAATCTTTTTTCAAATTCTCTGAACTAATTTTTTAAGGAAATGTATGAAAATTGTATGTTGATATTGGGGCTTGAAGGGGTTAAATTACATGGAAGCACTGGGGAACAAATTTTATCTTTGAGTGTTAAAAATTATGGGGTTTTGAGCCTCAGATCTGTACGAGTGTTTACGTAGGGGAGCTGTAAATCCCATACAGCTCCAATGCACATTTTCTATCAAGTTTGTGAAATGAAAAAAACTTAACATTCATGAGAAATATAGGCTCGATTACCAGCCACTACTCACATAGCCTGTTTGGCAGGTGTTTGAAAGGGGAGAGGGAGGGTATTTGGGCGTGAGAATGCACATGATGAATAAGGGAGGCCATTCATGCTTCTTCTGTGCCTGGATTTTCTTTCCCTTTCAAATGCCTGCCTGGACACAGGAGATGGCTGAGATTGAGCGTAAGAGAAATCCGACCAGAATGAAAGATAAAATTTGTTATCCAAGTCGGCCACGTACCAGTAATGTTATAGATCTTGATGAAAAAACTCTACCAGACAACTCTCATTTCATGAAAAGAGTCGATCTAAGGCAGCTTATTGTTATGGCCAGTTAAAACTCTAGACAATTTGATTTTCTGTTACAAAATTTAAGTTCAATTTCAGTGATGTTTATATACCTTAAGTAGAGAGAGTTTCATAACAGCACAATTTTCATGCTCATATGTATGTGACAGTGACATATACTATGGTCCATTTTCACTTGTGAAAAATATTTCACTTCAACTATTGATTTTTTTTATGAGCAGGAGAAATACTGGTTTTTCATCAATTTCTATATCTATAATTTTAATTATTACAGTTATGAACACCAAAGGTGTAGAATTCTCTTGAAATTTGAACAGCTTTGAACTGTTACTTGTAAAGGGACAAGAAAGGATAATTTGTATTTCCACGTTAGGCTTAAAGGTTAAAGAAGTAACTGTAATGCTTTAAATTAGTTAAAAGTAGTTAAAGAGAAAGAATTGTGAAGTAACTGGAAACATGCTGTTAATAAAGTCTGAGAAAGTGTAAACAGTTCTTCTTCTTTTGCTGGTTTGTAAATAATGTATTGTTGACCTCTTCCCACCCTGTTTTCATTTTTTTTTTTTGAGTTTATTTGATTCATCTGCCAATTGCCCATTGTAGATCACCTCTTGTTTGGTCCAATAATTAAGGTGTAAAGGCGAATAGTGACTGTTTTTTGTACACTTTTTTAGCTTGTAGGTTTTATTTTACCAAATCAGACCATGTGATGTTCTCAAGCGAAGTTACCGTTTGGCTTTTTGTTAGTTATTCATGAATATGCACATGAATAGTTGACATTTGCAGGAAACAGTCCCCCTGGGTAACATAACATTGGCAATGTGAAAACAAAACATACAAGCTAAAAAACCCTATCATCACAGGAACCAAATAAAGGTTAAAAAGAAAAGAAGGGAAATATCTGAAGGTAAGATCATTTTGTCCCTCCATATCAACATAGTGAAGTCTCTCTCCATCTTTGACACAAGGAACCCGAACGCTGTATTGGCTACATCATAAGCAGTTGCTATTTATCTGTCCTTGAGTCTTAAGGACTCATTTTGGAAGGGATTTAAATTAGATTGAAGACAGTTAAACTTGCTGGTTTCAAATCTTCAATCTTGTCTTGCATGCTACAGTTACAGCTCAACTTTCTATTATTATTAACTATTAACACTCCTTGGAAAGCAATCTTGGGTTTTAATTTAACAATCTCTCTTCTCTACTTTTCCGAGGGAGTTAATATTTGGTAATAATTGAAAACTTGAGATGTAACTGTTACATCCCTTGCATGATGCGCCAGACAGGACGATGCCCATGATGATGCCCACTCTGTCCTCCTTCCCACTGGACTCATCCCTACTTAACCCTATTCCCTATGGTATCTTATTGCATTGCATCAGCTGAGAGATGGCAAGTTGGAAATTGTGTGGCACCCCATGTTTTAAGACATGAACAGAACACCAAGAAATATCACAGCTGTACTCCAGCCTTTGGAAATTTACCTTAAATGTGTTTTCATAGAATTCTTAAATTTTTTACAAAATGTAAACGCTTGGCACCTCAGCCTGCTTGGCAGGTGTTGAAAGGGGGGAGGGGTAAGGGAGAATTTGGGTGCACAAGGGGAACGTGATCCCAATTTTCCCCCTCCTCGTGTGCCCCTGGCGCTCTTGCACGCCCACATTCCCCCTTCCTCTTCCCCTTTTAACACCAGCCACACAGGCTATTGACACCCTGGTTTAAATAACACAATAAAATAGAAAATGGATGTGGAAAAGTGAAGAGTACAACAGACAGTTTTCAAAAAATTCCAAATCCAATTTGCAATTGGATATTTTTGAAAACTGTCCAGCCTAACTGTTTTCGAAGTTAATTTCTGTTGTTTGTTCAACATTTGTCACGAAGGTGTGATCTTGTCACTTACAAGTAAGAGGAAATATTTTCTTTGTTAACATTAATTAAAGTTCTGTAGTGAGAGAGGGCAAGAAATAAAATTAGCTACTACACAAAAATAATAGACCAGACAGCGCATAACAGAGCCTCTTTAAGTACAAAGTTTAAGTATTTATTTATTTCAGTGCTACCAAATACTTACATTTCAATGTGTGAATTAGTGACGTTACAACCATTTTCAGTGTAACATTCATAGCCAATATCTGTTGGCATCTACCTTTCAGCTAGACTGCGAGAAGTCTCTCTTTTTCTACACATTTAGTGAGGGGAGAAACGTGCCCCTCCCGTCTCACGCCTTCAGTCAAGTGCGTGGCCATTTGCGTGTCTTGCGTTTTGCTTGATGGACTAAGAAAATCGAGAGACTGCTTGTAGTCTACCTTTCAGCATGTTGTAAATAAGACATATCAAAATCCCTTAATCACAGTCTAATGCATGACCTTCTAAACTTGTTGCTCATTTCCATCAAGGTGACATGAGATTGTGATTGGCTCATTTCAAATGTACATCAAAACATAAATATATCAAAAGATGACCTTGGGATAGCCTCTACGCATGCAAAATTGAAAGTGGTTGAAAACTAATAATATTAAAATACTGCATTGCAAAAGTTACAATGATAAAATGTACATCAGATAGTAAAGTTCCCTTTTTAATGAAAACAAAAGAAAAACTACAAATATTCAGTAACAACAGTATACACACATGAAATTAACCTGAATAGCAATCAAATTATTAATTTTTATAAAATAACTAAGATAGTACATGTGTTTTATTATTATTTTGCCGCACAGAATAAATAACAGCAAGTAATTACACATAATAAAGAGGTAAATGACATTAAATTGACATTAAATTAAAACCAGTATACAGCTGGGATATTCACGGCAAATAACTATATACATTTTATACAATGACAATGCTGTCAAACAATTAGCAATATATTACTGAATGAGGCCAAGTTTGATGCTAAGAATTATGCAGATCGAGAAGGATGCTATCCACCAAGGATAAAATCCTCCTTGATCTGCACAATTCTTCATATCATACGGAAGCCACATGCAATAATAATTATTATTGTTTTATTATTCATTAAAACATTTCCAAGTTTTTAACAAGCTTACCTCCAAATAAACTTTCTTCAAAACTTTGGCCTATTTCTCTGCACAGTTTCAGGATTTAAACCGAGGTTTGGTCAATGCCGGTTGGTTATGAAGAATTAGCCGGAGAATTTGAGCCAATAAGAAATGGCAAAATATTTTAAATGAATGATTATAACATCAAATGTTGACTTCTATAGGGACATAAATTTATGCTCTTTTAGTCATCTGAGCCTGAACTGGTGCTGTTTCCTTCACATCTACTCTCAGACAAGTTTGAAATCCTCTTCTCTTCAACTACAAAAGGAAGGCTCTTGAAATTCAAAGGTGGAATCTTGACATTAAATGTGCCCTTTTTATTCAGATATTTAAACACATAATGCCCCTCCATGAGCCCTGTTGGGGTAGAAAATGTGGTACAACTTATGTACTCATGAAGGGCCCCAGGGTACATCACAGGAAATTCACCTACAACTCCATCGCCATGAACCTCTTCTTTGACTCCATTAGCATCAGTAATGTACCAGTGTCGAGTTGTCAGTTGACATTTGTCCATCTGAAAGGTAGAGAAACCAAAGTAGTAAATGGTCAATACTACACTCTGATATTTTTAAAAAAATACTTAAGGGGCAAACCACTCCAGATGAGTGTTTGCAGTTGACAGGTTACTTTGACCAGCTAAAAATGTTATGCAGGCAAAAATCAAGAATAATATAGACCATTGTCTCTGTTGTACTACTTTTAGTTACAGTTCACACCATGTTATAACCATGTAATACTACATATTTTCCATTGCTTTATAACCAAGCACATGTTCTTTTTCACATTTTATTACCAACATCTCGTGGTAACGAATATCCACAAATGTTTAGACTTTCCTGGGCTTTAGAAATTTCTAGGCAATATTGTTAAATCTACTTAAATCTCATATGCAGTGATACCTCAATGCAACAAAGCGCATATAACAAAACCCCAGCATAATGAATGGCATTCTGTTTTCTTCTAGAAAACAAGACCTTTATAAGCATACTGTAAAGGTTCTATGTAATATTATGTTTAAATGAAGATGTGATCATCGCAGTGGTAATTGCAATTTAAGCAATTGCAAATTAAATCCAAAACAATTTCGGGAATTCAATGGGATTCAAACTCATGGCCTCTGCGTTAGCACTGCAGTGCTCTACCCTGGGGGGGGAGGAAGGGGGTGTGCAGCATGCTTTTTTGAAACCCCTACCCCATTTCAGACCAAAATCTGTGTTTTTCCCTACCCTATTTCAGACCTGGTCAAAAATCTGATACCCTATTTCAGACCTGACCCTTAAAACAATCTGCTCATGACAAACTGTTATGGCACATATATGGTTGGCGTAAACATTAAACGGGAAATGGCCTTATCATCTAATGAAGAAGAAGTACTTCTTCTAAAAAAACATACCCAATTCAAGACTAGAGTGCACAAACCATACCCTACTTCAGACCAGTTGATGCTCTAGCAACTGAGCTATGAAGACCCATACATTGGGAGCAGGACAATTTGTTGAGTTCAACTAGTTAAACCCAAAAAAGAAATATCATGTTTGCACTGTATTCATAAACTGCCAAAAAAACCTTTACATCTAGTTAGGGAATGTCTTGAGACTTTAAGATGCTTTAAAAAACATTTGCATAATAATGCACAGTAACAACAGATGCCACTGTCCTTGACACTCACCACAGAGCACTCGGGCTCCATTGATATGGAGATGCGATAGGTAAAGAAGAACAGTGGAGGTTTCACACTGCTTAGTTCCGGGAGAAATGCAGTGGTTGTGGTGACGGTGATTCCCTGTGTGGTAGTTCTGGCAGAAAACAGAAACTTATAGATTTCATTGTTAATAATGGGGTAACAGTTCCTTGACAACTGGTCTGCATAGGTAACGAGCCATTCCGCAAAATTGCTCCCACCAAGAAAATGGTGCATCCGCATAGGAGCAATATCAAAATTGTCAACAGTGCGGTCAGGGCTTGGCCAAAAGATTTCTCCAGGATTATGTCCTTCTTCATTTGTAAGAGCCATGAATTGTCCATTTCCAGTATTCACACAGAAAGAAACTGGAATACAGTTGCGTAGACCATCTCTTCGCTGAAGACCGCTTGATGCCACATTGAGCTCTAGAAGAGATTCACTTTGATAGTGGTTTGATATCGCCATGGAACCAATCAGACCTGGACTGACAAGGCGCTGTCCATTGTGGATACGAAGTGAGCATCTTAGGTCTGTTGGAAGCTTACAGCCTACAGAATAAAATAATTTTGGGTGGCTTGTTATGAGGTACTGTTACCAAGGAGTGATTTCTTCAAACCTTTTTAAAAGGGAAATTCAACAATGACAATTCCAGTTAATAGAAAATTCAAAAATGGAAAAATTTCCCACGCCGAGTAGTTCTTTGATGAAAATAACCCTGACCTGGCTTGCTGATATTCACTCACACAATACCAGATATGCCTCAAATCTTAACTTTCATGTACCACGTGTAAGGTCAAATTACAGCAAACACACATTTAAGTTTGCCATAACCGAAATTTGGGACGAGATTCCTACTAAGATAAAAACACTTAGCTACCATGAGTTCAAAAAAGAATATAGGTGAACTCTAGTTAACTCTCAAAGGTAACAATTGTAATATGACTGTCTCACATAACCTGACTGCTGGCATAATCGTCCATAGTTGCCATGGCACCAAGCGCACATTTATTATGTATTTCCAATCATAATATAGCGGTGGTTAGCTCGAAAGCTAAGCTCCTCTGACCACCGTACACTTCTACCCAAGCAATTAATTTTCTTTTTTTCCTTCTTCTTCTCCTTTATTAGTGTATTCCTACCTTACTATATATAATGTGAATATTTTATTAAGTGTGAAAAATAAAATTGAATTGAATTGAGATATGACAGGTACTACCAAGAAGTGATTTCTTTGACAAAAAAAGGGACATAAAAAAATTGGAAACTCAACAATGACAATTTCAGTTAATAGAAAATTCAACTAATACCATTAAGCCTTCCTAATTCTGTTGTATCAATTTCTTCCTCCGTGAGCCCATCATTCAATGAGGTAAAAATTTCCGGGCAGTGAAGCTTGGTAAACTCTTCAATAATGTTCCACGCCCGTTTAATGGAGGCGAAACACGACTCGTATCGACCCCAGTTCGTCTTCCATTCTGCGAACAACTGCTTCCACGATCTGCCTTGAGGGCATTCTTCAAGCAGCCAAACTTCTTTACACCATCGTTTCCAAGCAGGGAGGCCAGATGCGACTTGATTGAACCGAGGGCAAACCTGACTGCACCGTGCCAAGTCTTTTTTGTCCAAAAAAGAGAAGATATTCGCCAAAGGAATGACCGGCAAAGAAGACAGGTCACATTTCGCCGCCATTTTGGAATGTTACGGTTTTGGTCCCAGTCTCCAATCATACGAATTACAGTTTACCATCTAGGGGTGGCTTGGGAAGGAATATGGAAAAAGAACTACTATCCTGGGTACCGTACACTTTTATTTGATGACCTAAATTTATACCAGGAACTATTTCAAATTGATCTATTGCTCCATTTCTTTGAAAAGTTGTCAAAGTAAATTTAGGTGAGTCGCGGTAAAAGAATAGACATTCAAACAATTGCATGAGACGTTCGCCCCCTCGTCACCTCTAACCTACCCTACCCGAGTAAGTAAGCCTTGGACACAGCTGTGTAACCAAATACTCTCGTATGTATTTCCGTCCTTTTCATATAACACTCAGGTGAATTTTCACCGTTGTATTTACCATACGATGTATCGAACTAACGCCAGATAACTGCTGATCAAAGCTGACTAACGTGAAATCGCGTTTATAACAGGTATTTTCCGACGACTTTTTCGGCATTTGTAGTCATTGTAGTAAATAATTAAGGAGGTATTACAGAATCAACAATTCTCGTAGGGTCTCATTCAATTTTAAATTATTTCTATTTAAGGCTAAATGGATTATTACCGCAGCTCAATGTAAAGTTTAATGATGAATATCTCAATGTCTAAAATTAAACTTTTAGGCCAACAGGAGGTAGTACATGGCTTAATTCATCGACAGTGATTTGTGAAAAATTTTCAACTTAGGTAGATTTTTATAATGTGACGTGTCAATTTCAGATAAAAAGAACGTCAAGGAATTATTTAATAATTAAAACTTAGTACATAACTTCAAAACTACGATGAAATGATGCATAGGTTATTATACTCTTTTTATGATCTGAATATCTCAATGTCTAAAATTAACCTTTTAGGCCAACAGGAGGTAAGTACATGACTTAATTAATCGACAGTGATTTGTGAAAAATTTTCAACTTACGTTGATTTTTATAATGTGACGTGTCAGTTTCAGATAAAAGGAACGTCAAGGAATTATTTAATAATTAAAACTTACTACATAACTTCAAAACTATGATAAAATGATGCAGAAGTTATGATACTCTTTTTATGATCTGAATATCTCAATGTCTAAAATTAACCTTTTAGGACAACAGGAGGTAGTACATGACTTAATTAATCGACAGAGATTTGTGAAAAATTTTCAACTCAGGTTGATTTTTATAATGTGACGTGTCAATTTCAGATAAAAAGAACGTCAAGGAATCATTTAATAATTAAAACTTAGTACTTAACTTCAAAACTATGATGAAATGATGCATAAGTTATTATACTCTTTTCATAATCTTAATAACATTATTTATCACTTTCTATGAACTAAACGACAAAATAGAAGTGTGTACAATTCTAAAGATTTGATTACCATTTTTATTATTGCTTGGCTGGATCAGGAAGAAGCTTTCTACCTCCAGACGTGCAAATTTTCAGGTATGGAATGCAAGGCCCAATACGCTTGTGCACACTTTTTGAATTACTAAATTTATAATTTGGCTTGTTGTTAATGTCAGAGAATGAGTTGTTTAACTAGTTAATGAGACAATAGGTGAATGACCCAAACAATGTCCCTTGCCTTAAAAAATAATATTAGCCAGTACGTTTTCAAAGGCCAATCAATGTTGAAGTTTTTGGGAGATTCATGGCTTTAGAATAATTTCCACCCTCCCACACCATTGAACATTAGTTTTATCTTCTAAAACCCTTGCTGTCTTTGAAATATTTTGCTATTCATCATTTTTAACACATATCTTGATTACAAGGCATCAGGTAAGGCAAGGTTTATTTTGAAGCCTTTAGATTATAGTGGTACGTTACTCCTTGAATAGTGGTATAATATTATTGTTTCAAATCAGATTCTTTTTTCTACTGTGTGAAGTGATAAAAAAATTAATTATGTTTCTCGCATATTTAGGCAAAATTAATTTTGAAGCTTTGAGATTTAAGTTGTATGTGACTCTTCAGTGGTATTTCATTTAAAAGTAGTTAGTTAAAAATCCTTTGGGCCTGATTGGCTTGTTCTTAAATGCAGAATTGTGAGATTACTGATTTAGTATCTGTCTGTCTTGCTACCAGTTACTTAGATTGATTGATGTAGACCAGTATGGCCCTGAGCAACATATACAAGCCAGAAACAAACAAGTTCTCTCATCTTGCAAGTGATGAAGATGATGATTCAGATGATCTTGATGATGAAATTGATGACAGCTATGGGCTGCACAGTCCTACAAGAAATGTCCAGAAACCATTAATGGTGCCTAACAGGACCACTAAAATAAGAAGAGCGCATTCAAAACCTTGGTGTACAGCTAGAGCTGGCTTAATCTGCTTCCTTTGGCTTGCGTTTTTTACAATATGTTCAGCAGGACTTGTTCTTCTTATACTACGTGCAATTGATTCACTGGGCTCAAAGAAAAATGCTTCACATTTACAGCCTCATTTTGACAAAAAACTCAGTTTAAATAAACAAAGTATTTTAGATGACGAGAACAACTTTGCTTCCTGTGACGAAGTTTCTGCAACAAAGGTGTGGCATTCCTCATTTCCAAAACTAATGACAGAAACAGCCGTGCGTCCTAATGACGTAAATCAAGATGGTATCGATGACCTTATGGTCGGTTTCTCAACTGGTGTAGATGGCTACAATGCACCCAAAATCTCTTGTGACTTGTACTTCAATGGGACATACCCTTGCTATGGAGGGCTTCTGGCCCTTGATGGTAAAACTGGTCAAGAGATTTGGAGGCACTATACAATGCATGAAATATATGGCGTGAACTGCAATGGGGATTTAGACACTGATGGTGTCCGAGATTGTTTAGTCTCTGGAAGAGGAGGAGTGTTTGAAGTTGTCAGCGGAAAGACTGGTAACATGATTTGGGGGTTTGGACCACAAGAATCCCGAGACACTAACATGAATTTGTATACAGGGCAGTTTATCAGAGACTTGAACAGTGATGGTGCAATGGAAGTGTTGGTTACTCATGGTGGGGATCCTATGGCGTGAGTATTTTACTTGTGTAATAAAAAAATTTTCTCTTTGGCTTTTGAACCGTGGGACAGTGTCCTACACGATTTCATAATAATTAAAATGATGGAATTGAAAGAACTGTCTTCCCAAAATATTGTTGCAGTGCAATTCAAGCAACATTGAGGCAGTCTGAGAGTGTGTTTCTCTACTAAAATCAAGTATGCGGGGAAAAAAACAGCTAGGGATTTCTTTTAGTGCGAAGTAGCCAGGGGCCACATTCATACTAGCCAGGGGAAATCCGTGGCCCCTGCCTCTCAATGACAGCCCTGCATTTTAACAAAGCTCCCAATAACAAGCTTCTAAAGCCCTTGTCCTTTATTCAGTGACCCCGGCAGTCCTCAGCGCCTGGTAGGACGTATTTTGATTTTCTCTGGAAAGACCGGTGAAGTGCTGACATGGGTAAGGACCCCAGATGAAAGAGAGACCTACTTCTCACCAGTTATATACACCAAGAAAGACGGCATTGAACTTGTTCTGTTTGGGACTGGAGGAGAAACTCACCCAGGTGGATTATGGGTTGTTTCTCTGCTTGATCTGTTTAATGGCCTGATAGAGAGAGCTAAGCTTATTTACAAAGATGATTTTAAAGGTACAGTACCTTACAATTTGTGTTATTGTCAGTAGTATTTATGCCTCTTATTATTCAAGGTTGCTTGCAGGTAATCAGTTGATGGTGGAGGGGAGGTGGGGGGCGGGGGGGGGATGAGAAACTGCCATGTTGACACTTTCTCTGTTATTCCAATGGACAGATTAAGTCTCACCTAAAAGCCTTCCTGGCTTCTTGAGACTGCCTTCCCTATTATACTTATTTATTTTTAGCTAGTAAATTAAAGTGTGTAACAAAGGCAAGTCATAGTCACAATAAAAGATAACAAATAAGCAAATAAAATATAATGATTTGGAGGTAGCGCACCCACAAAGTGGTTCTTTGTCTACCTGATTCCTGGTCAAATTGGAATTTGGAAATGTTGGAGAGGGGAAAACCAACAACAAACTCAACTCACATATGGCTTGAAATGATAAATTAGGTCTCCATCTCAGCTTTTGCACAAGTCTTAAGTAGTGGATTTCTTAGGTTCAGAGCTTGTGGCCCTCTAAATTTTTTAGAACACAGCCTTGGTTGTCTGAGTTTTGCAGTAATTTTTAATCATTTTCTTTTCTATTTGTCATTGTAGGGGTGATGAATCCACCTGCTCTTGTGGATTTAAACAAGGATGGAACTGTTGACATTGTTATGGCAATGTATAACACAACTGTCGTTGCTTTTGATGGTGAAACCCATGAAAGACTATGGGATTTTGTTTTTCCATCAAGTGAAAGTTACTCGTAAGTTTATGCTTTTGGTCATTTTGACCAGATCTCTGTCATTTTTGTTCTGATGTAATTATTACATGGGTTCCTTCATATAACAAACACCTATATAACATGGTATATCTATGGGATATTCTTTGCCCTAGTTACAGTAAAGTATGCAGAAAAGGACTATGATATAACGAGGCCTTGTGATAGTTCACTTATTTTCCCTTCTCCTTGGTCCTTTGTTACATCAAGTTTCCACTGCTGTAATCTTATTGTTCAAGTTCAAGAACAAGTTTTCTTCAAATTTGAAACTTTGCTGCACATGATTTTGTTTCCAAAGTATCATACATTGTTAACCCTTTCTCACTTGTAAATTATTATTATCATAATTGTTGTTGTCGTCATTGTTGTCGTCATCATCTTTTGACAGCTGAGTGGGCAACCACCCCTAGAATTGTTACATCTGATCAAATGAGGCTTCTTCAAAGAAAAGCACCTCTGCCATTTCCTCAAATAAGTATCTCCCCAATAAACGAGAAGTCCAATGGCAACTTCTCATTTTTTGGTTCTTAATATTTTAGCTGATTAGATCTCTTTTCTAGAGATCCAACGTTTATAACCAGCGGGATCTTCATCCACAGTTTTTGCAGTTAATTTAATTCCTTTACCTCCCCAATACTACCAGGTAAAAAAGAGATGACGTACCCCTGGTTTCGGACCCTGCCCTGACCCAAGCTCAACTCCATGTCTCTGCTGTTACAAAATCATTGCAAATTATTGGTCTTTTGGTAAATTAATACTCAGTTTTGTGCTACTTTGATGCTTATTACAGGATTTAAAAGCCCTCCATTGGTCTTACTTCGAATTCAGGGTGGCAGTGTTTGAGTCATTTAATTATGGAGTCTTTGTGCTTATTAGTGAAACCTGTCAGCTATCTGTAGCTGTGGTCCATGTTACTTTTATTTTTCTTTGCATTATTGATTTGTATTTTTATCGTATTTAATTTTAGAATTCCAGCTGCTGGCTTCTACAACAAAGATGATATTCCTGACTTCCTTGTTAGGTACAATGCAGGCATAGGGTTCCCAGTGTATTTCTATTCCAATGTAAGTTGGCTAGCGTCAGTTAAAAAAATCATTATGGTAACTTTCTTGCTTTCCGTTATTTTGAAGCCATTATTACCAGCCATTGCATCATTGCATTTTTTGCTGATATTCACCATTGGGACTTAGAGGGTTAATAATTGATTGACAGGTGACAGTGCTGGATGGGAAATCAGGCAAGCCTTTGGTCGTACCTTTTGTCAAATCTTCATCAATGGCCAACACATCACCGCTAAGTGTCAGCATGCAGGGAGTGGGTAATGACCTTTTCATTTACTGGGTGTCTGACTGCATTGGCCATGAAGGAGAAGGGGGAACATTCAAATTTGTTGAAGGCACTAATGTACATGAGCAGAGTCGTGCTGACACTTGTAAGCTGAGGTACAATGCTAAGAGCTTCAGTAAGCTTCGTGTGATGAATAAGAACATTGGCTTTCCTGGCAATGATATATACTATTCAGGTGAGATCATCTTTGTAGGCCTTTAAGTTGCCTAGTCCCTAGGCCTCATTCTTCCGCGCGGGCAATGCTTTTCGGGTCACATGATCGGAGCGAGTTCTCCGTTGGTCTCGGATAGATCACCGAAATGCATTGACCGCGAGGGCCTGGGAAGTTGCGGCGTCAAAAAGCAATAGGTTTAGTCAAGAGCCACAATGGGATTATGGCTCTTGTTTTAGTTCGCAAAACAACAACTCTGTACGTGCATCACGCCTTTTAGTACATTTCTTTGCCGTCCCAGCAAGACTACGACGTGAAATGACCAAATTTAAGTTTTTTTGAAGACGGAAACGGCGAGGCGATAAATTCTACCCTCTCTGTCTGAACTCGGGCGTGGCCTCCTCTCTTCAGCTCCAGCATAAGTTCTCTTCTTTTAAGTAACTGGGTGACTTGAGATAATCGCGAAACGGTTTGAAAAGATGCGGAGCCTATTTTTCAGCTACGTTTTCATGGACGTCGCCATTGTTCGATCGTAAGGTCCCAATTAGGCAAGGCCTTAAACTTGTTTAGATATATTTCTGGGCCTAGCTGAAGGCAAATAACGCTACCTCGGCGTCTGAAAATGAACGTTTTTATTGTTTCACTAAAATAATAGCACATTACAAAGGCTTCCATGAAAAGCTAAATCAAAGTATAAATGGACCTTGTTGTAAAAGTTGTCCAAACTAAGAGTACTGTAAGTTTTAGCTCGCCAATGTGACGCTGGAGTCTGAAAACTCAATACTCTCTCCTCCTCGAAGTCGCTTCAATCTTTTTTCGTTGGTCTCGAAAATAGGGAGCTTAAGCAACGAGGACGTTGACTAGAACAGAAGTTAATTTGCGTCCTTTCATAACTTTATTGCGTCTATTTAGACCCACTCAAGTTGTCAACTGCAGGCGATTTTTCTTGGGGTGAAATTGGTAAAGACTTTATCCAGGTTTAAAAAGAGAATGGAAAAATCGTCGTCGTACGTTCACCTCCTCCATGAAACGTCGCATTAGGAGGTTTCACGTCGTAGTCGTGCAGTGGACGTCAAAGAAATATACTGAAAAGCGTGATGCACGTGTAGAGCTTTTGTCTTGCTCATAAAACCTCCTTTTTTGACGTTAGGTCGTTGTCGTGGCTGCTTAAGCAGGTATGGTTTTCAGTCGAAAATTCGCACGTTTTTCTTTGCCAAAACGTTTCGAATCTCGTTCAGTCCAGTCTCGTCCTTTAAAAAACTGTGTTTTGCCTGCCAGCAAGCCCTCCATTTACGACGCGAAGCAAACTGCGAGAGAAAACTCGAGCGAGCGGCTCGCGCGACCTCTCGCGACTTCCTGAAATTGAAAACTTGCTTGCTGACTATGTACATACTTATGATAACTTTCTTTTGCGTGTGGAGGACGGCGGGAACGAAAATGGGGAGAGAACGAGAAGCTCTCGGTCTTTGTCCTCCCCGACACCCGCTTCCCAGGACCTTGCCCGTAGGCCGGGGGGGGCGGGACTGCCATATATGGGCTATATAGGTATGTGCCGCGGTGAAGGGTATGATTTTCAAGCAGTTTACTCTAGGATAGGGTATATAAATCAGAGCGTTTGGGTCTAGAATAGGGTATCATTTTTCAGGAAACTGATCAGTTGGTTGAAGATTTTATCTAGCCTAGGGAAACAGCTACTCTAGGATAGGGGGTATTTGGGGAGTTTACTCTAGAAAAGGGTAGCAAAATTCAGCTGAACTAGCTCTGGTATAGGTTAAGGGTTCCAGGGTCCCAGCGGCACATCCCCACCCAGAAATTCCTAAAGTACCCCCCTCCCCCCCCCCGGGCCCGCAGGCCAATCTCTTTACGGTGGCCAATCAGTTTTTTTTCTATCATCGCAGTTGTGGTGTTTGTTTATCAACATTTGTTTGTTTTCGCAGAGGACTATTTCAATTTGGAGCACGAGTCCATAGAGAAAGATGTACAAGAAAAGGAAAATAAGCAAGAAAACACCAGCTCACAAGCGCGGGCAAAAAGGCATATCGGCGTACCAGATCACGGCGGGTATCAAAGATTGATGGCCACCGGAAGTATAGTGACGTCACTTGGGGAGGAAAATAACACAGGACCTGCTGATTCAATTGATATTGTTTTCACTACTTATTGGCAGTATCCAGCAAAAGTCAGGATTATTCTGCCTGAGGATAAGGCTTGTATTGAGGACTTCAGAAAACGTCATAACATAACAGGTAAACTAACAACGAGTAGCTCAAGAAACAACGACGGCGGCGGCTACAAAAAAGTCACTTCAAAAGTGAGTTCGCGCTGCTCCAAACTTTATCACACTTATGCCATCTCGTTCAATTCGAAATGTTGGCTAACGTGACTGGGGTTGAATTGTTGAAGAGTGTATCGTAGTTCAGAAAAAGGAGAAGAATGTCGTTGTCTTGTCTTCAACAAAACGTGAAATTTGGCACTTTCACGTCGTAATCGTGCAGAAAAGGCAAAGAAATGTGCAAAAAAGCGTGCGTGCACGTGCAAAGTTGTTGTTTTGCAAATCTAACCTTTTTCATTTTGCCCTTCTCGTTGCCGTCACTGTCGTAGTTACTTAAGCTTCCTAAATATGACTTACCATATGTCCTCGAATAAACGCCTGGGCGCTTATTTAAATTTTTCCTAAATGGAGGGTCGTTAATTTGAAGTAGGGCGCTTAATCGAGGGGGGGGGGGGGCGCTTATAAAGTTTTCCTTTCAACGAGCTGTAACGTTATTTTGGCTATATCTTTTTAGAGGATAACAAAAACTACAACAATAATTGTTAAATTGAAGTGAATGATGCTGTATTCAAGATGTAATGTGAATAAATAACTTTGACCAGTTGAAAAATACGTGAATTATTATTATTATTATTATTAAAATAATTATTATAATTATTAATTAATTATTATAATTATTATAATTATTATCCACGTAAATGTTTAGTCAATTTTTAATGTTTCGTTTGTTAAAACAGAGGGTCCCCAATAGGGTTTTTCTATCCCGTAATCCCGACCCAAATTTTCGGGCAATCCCGTAATCCCGTAGGTTACTTTTGGCATCCCACCTCCCGCGCATACTTTCAATCCCAAATCTCGCCCCGATTTCCCTTTAAAATTCCGAATCCCGAGCCTCAAATAAGGGAAATCCCGCATCCCGAAAAACCTATTGGAGACCCTCAAAACAGTGGTTGGTAATCAAGAAGACCGTAGTCCTTTTATACAAGACGTATTGGTATCCAAGTCTATCAAATTTCGATTATCTCATCAATTAAGTGGCAATAGAACAAGACTTCCCTTGTATCCTTACTCTTAAAGAAATTGGGGAGGAGGGGAGGGGAGCGCTTATTCGAGAGGGGCGCTTGTGTGATGTTATGGTCTAGGGGATAGACGCTTATTAGAGCGTGGGCGGCTACTTTTGCGTGTCGATCGCGCGTAGCTCCTCGCGGTATAACCTTGAAATATTCCTGGCCTTCAACAGTTTTTCTATGATTTTTTTTTAGAAGAAGAATCTGACAGTGACACTCTTGCGTGGAGAAATTACAAAGCTGGAATATTTGATGCTGGAGATGCAGCAGTGAACGAATGCCTAAAGAACAAGCAAAAACCAGACAAGGGCAATATTTTCATCAGTCAGCACGACTTTGATGTGTATAAAATACACTTTGGCAGTTTGTCGGTGTATCGTTTCACTCTGAAGTGCAAGTGTAATAATCTGTCGTCCTCTCAACGGTGTAGCAGATTCTTGCCTTTTTCCCAGCAGAGTTGGGGTGGATACATGGGCACCCTGACGAATAGTTATTTTGTTCCAAGAAAAAGACCTTAGGGTGGGATAGTGGTGGCCATATTGTGTTTACCCTTGAGACTGGGTCGGTGTTGTGTCGAATTGCACCATGGGATTGTTTGAGGGCGGGGATTATGACATCGTTTCCAGGGTAACTTCATAATCACCAATTTGCCACTTTATAAGCGAGGAGACTGGACCGAGTTAACCTTTGCAAGGACTTCTGGGACTGTTACTTGAGACAGTGAAAAAATTGGCCAATAGCTGACCGTTGATTCCCCAGTAACGATCCCAGGAGTCTTTTACATTTTCGCATTTTTATAAGGTTAGCATTAGGTAACATCGGCTGAAGTCAGATTGTTTCTTTACTGTGTAATATAAAATGAAATAGAATAAATCCACTGTAATGCTTTGAACCAGGGTCACTTGCTTTAGAGCCTACATCCATGTCCACTACACCATCGAGGACTAGCTGCCAAATCCAATAATTTTTAAAATATACATGTTCTTATGCCGTACCCCATTACAATATTTGAAAGCTAACCGTTTTCAGTTCAGTGCTTAACCCAATCACTGCAGATCAGTGCTTAACTCTCTACTGTGTTCTCTCCATAACTGGCACTCTGTAGTTTTGGTTTCTTCAGCTATTCTAGCCTCATTCTACATTCCAGTCTCGTTCCATTATGGAAATAATGCATTGTGTAAAATTCATAAGGTGTCCAATCTGGCTTCACTCGATGTTATCTAACGTTAACCTTTTTATAAAGTACATTCTGTTTAGTTAGGAAATGGCAGTGTCAATGACGAGTCAGTTTAAACTGCATGAAACTGGAAGTCTTTGACCCCGAAATGCAGCAAAACGTAGTAACTTTATACCTTTTATGAAATCATTGGACACTTGACTTTCCACGTAACCCGGCCCGCCAGCTGAGGCTGCCTTTTCGAGATATGTCTCGGCGTGCAGAAAGTACGCATCCTGGAAAAGTCGCCTCTACTAGCAGGCTAATTTCCGTGGAAACCCTCTTTTGTTTTCGTTTTGCATCGTATGGGATTTACTGATTTTATCATACTCTTCTTTGTAATGACACTGCATTATAAATATTACCCGAAGAAACGTTCGTAAATTTTTAAGGGCTAAGGGTTGTCAAAATAAATGTCTCTATTTAACAGTTGCACCGACTTCCTTTTCCTCACCCTCTCCACCTTGTTAAAAGTAAGCCATGAACAGTACCCTTGTGTGAAAGGAGGGACGAATAGACCTTTTTAGCTTTCAGGTTTTGTTTTCCCATTGTAGACCACGTGATGTTTCATTAGAGAGCTGTTTCATTCAATGTCGTCATATGCACGTGCACATGCGTGCATAACTGATGAAAAGGCAAAAAGCAAATTCCCTTGAGAACATCACATGGTCTGAATTGGGGAAATAAAACATACAAAAAGGGTCTTTTGTGAATTGTTTTGAACTGTCACTGCATGGACTTAGAAAAGTGCAAGGAAAAAGCAACTTGCAAACCGGAGGGAGAGTCCTTTCTCTATGTATTGTCTCAGCTAAAATATATATACTACTTATTAACCGAGAGTGAGATCATTACGGGGAAATCTCAGACTGGGGACTTGATGTATTGAGTGAGCCATAGCGAGGTCAATACATCAAGAAGGAGGTTTGAGATTTCCCTGTAATGACTGAACGGACGAGGTTAGTAATTTATTTATTATATGGCCTTTTTATTATGAACTTGGGCCTGCGATCAATTAAAACCAACAACTGGTCAGCGGATAACTTTAAAAAACACGTCACCTCAATGAGTTGTACACTTGAGCCCGCGCTACAGTCAGGTGCCACTGGTCAGCAGATACCTTTTTGACAGCTTTCAATTGACCGTAACATTGATGACAGAGCGCAAAAACCGCCAGACATGCGCACTAGAGCTCTCGCCACTGTTTCTTGTATTCCCGCCTTTCGATTTTCAAAATGGCGGAGGACTAATCAGAATCTAACACGTCACTGCGGACGCTGCAAAGCCGCTGTCCTCGCTCTGAGAATTTTTCAACATCGTTTAACGGAATCTGTCAGCATTCAGCCATGTCTTGGCGACGCTAGCGAAAGGATCGGACTTAAACAGGTTCTCTAAAGCAGCGATGTTTGTGACCAGCTTCGGAGCCTATTTTGAAGCTTGTTGTTTCGAAGAAGGGCAGGTTTTTTGCGTTTCTTAAGGTGGTCGCTTACTCTTTAAGGTCAGGAAAGAGAAATGTTGTAGGTAAATAGTTTATGTAAAACATATCAAATATGACTTTTTTTTCGTTTTTTTTAGAGCTCTTTAAAAGTGGACTATTGTTTCATGACTTAAGAATTACAAGGAAGGCTTGTTCAAGGCGAAGTTGCAAGAACCTACAAGTATATTTACGTCATTTATCGCGTTGCTTCGCAATTTTTGTTTGTACTGACAGTGAAAGGAGTTCGATTTGCAACTGGTTTTCACGAAAATTGAATTCTAGAACTTTGTAATCTCACCTATAAAAGTGGTTATCTGCGGATTTTTTGTTAAGTAGTAAAGTTCGGGTGATGAACATTGTGTTTTTGAGGCGCTAAATATAAATACACTTTGGTGACACTGAATCGTTGTGATTGCTCACGTTGTTTTCTCAGCGAAATCTCGGCTACAATGCAGCTGGAAAAGTCATTCTTCTAGTTTCAAACAGCAGTAAAGGCATTTTTCTCATGACATGTTCTGTGTTTAAAAGGGGCCACGAGAACTAAGGAGACGGTCAAGGTTTAGGGAGTATGGGGGGTGGGGGGTAGGCAAAATTTTTTAAGGTTCTTCAAAATGCCATGTAAATCTGTATTTCTGTTACAAATAAAATATATCGAAAAATTCCAATTATTATCAATGACAACTTAAAATTGGGGGTCCTTCCAAAACAATTTTTAAAAAAATTTGAAAGAAATCAAAGACCAAAATAAAAAAGTCCACGAGAAACTTGAAGGTGGGTGCTTGTTGTTTTAACTCTTATTATTATGATCCAGACTATCTTTTAAAACACATTTCATCATCTACCCTTCCCCCTTCCTCCAAATAAAAGTTCACTTTCTCAGCCTAAGTTTAATGGAAGCCTAAGCCACTGAGGTGGAACAGGAAGTCATTAGTACTTATAACCTTTTCCATTTCACTGGCCACAATAGCGATCTGCTGTTTCTCAAAACAATGGAAAGGTGCAGTGATCAGCCTTCTCAAAATGTGTTGCATGCTCAGTCCTTATTTTTAGCCCATTTACTCGTGGAAATTTTGCAGAAAATAATTTTTTTGAAGCTAATCAAGCTGTTTTCTGGTCACTGCTTGGCTACAATAAGCCAAAATGCTGTTTGTGAGTTGAGCACTTCACAGAGCCTTCTGTTCCAGATGCAAAGTATCAGCTTCCAACATTTGATCATGCTCAGAAAGCAAAATTTCAAGCTAGTTTTTAGGTTTAAAAGTGACACAGCAGTCTTGAGGTTTATTTTTCACTTCCTCTCCTCCCATTGATAGGAAATGTTTTGGGAAAGCTTGTAGGATCATAGGATTAGATATAAGGACGTGTAAGTGGGTAGTGGAACAAGATTTCAAGGGAATGTGTTTATAGTTAAGAGATGGTCCAGATAAGAAGGAAAGGACCAAAACGCAGTGAACACGTCGGAATGCAAAAAAGGTGCTAACTTTACTATTGTCTCTACTAAGGTTCTGATTGGTTTAAACATCAAATTTTACAAAATCTTCGCAAAGCAGCATGTACATCAATCCTTTTTTTTTTCTATCCAACTTCCTTATAACAAAATCTCGCCTGAGTCTAAGTAACACAGAAATCGTATGTGCGGATCATGTAAAATTGTGAACATTTCTTGGCCATTGTTTGCAACTCTTGTGATTGGTCGAAATGTTTTAACACAAAAATACACCCTTTAAAAGTGGAGTTTAAATACATTTTCTTTTCGTAAACAGCCTTTTTGTAGATTTATGCACTCTCTGCGTAAAAATGAAAACATTTCTATGTGAGGAAAGCGTGACAGCCACAACAATAGAAATTGCTTTCCTTCTTACCTGGATCATTACTTAAGCATTAAATGTTGTGATGGGTTGGTTACAGTAAGTGACATCCCAAACTTGTTGTGTTCCTATTACTTGGGGAAGGCAACCAGTGATAAATTCATTAAAAAGTTTTAAAAATACACAAGTGTTGCTACTGTTTTCAGAGCCCAAAATAATAACTTCACTGGTAGATATTTTCACTTCTGAAAGTTTCATTGTATTGACCCCATGACAAACAATAACTAAACCAATGAATTTCTCATGGAGTTGTACTGTTCACCATCTTTCAGAGTAGCGTACAGTAGGACCTGCACCAGACCATTAGTTGACAATAATAACTTCAGAGAGATTATGTTCTATGTGGTTACCTGCCCGAGGTTATTGCTATTATCCGAAAAAAGTCATACAGCATAAGAAGCTTTTGGTGGAGAACTAAACTCAGCAAACATGCTTTACAAGAAAGTGCAATGTAAATCGTGTATAAAAGCACTGAGTCTGACTACCCTGTGTGCACTAATGTAGGCATTTACTGCATGCTTGACCAAAATATTCTTTGGCTTGTACTGAAAGCCAATGTCATGTTAATAAACTTGAAGCTTGTATTTGTTGTAGTTTTTAACTCAGGTAATGTATGCTAATAAAGTTGAAACAAAAGAAAAAATAAAAAATTACCTGAGATAAAAAAATTAACTGTAACATATATGTCAAATATAGCTTCAGGCAGAAGGAAATGAAACTCTTTACAGGAAAAAAAAAATTTTGTTCAAAATCTTAGATTTTTCTTTGTAACACCATTAATATTTAACTCATTAACTGGCAAACAGTTTTGTTTATTGAAATCCTCAATTAAGCCCCCAGGGGGGCTTATTTATTTCAAACACACTTGAGGGAGGGGGGCTTATTTGAGAGGGGGAACTTATTTAATTTAGCAAAGACTCTCCACAAAGACATAGAATACAAAGTGGAAAAGCTGAGGACCATAAACCAATCCAAACGTGCAGTTAGTGAATGAACCATCTTGGATTGGTCCACACGAAGTTTTTCAGTTGTGATTGAGTAATACAGTCTATCATTCATTAATTAGTGAAGAATATAAAGGGGAAGGAGAACTTATTTGAGGGGGGAGGTAAAAGAGGATTTATGGTATTTAAATTTATGTTCATTTGATGAATGTGTTTTCATTATATCATATCTGTTTGAGACAAAGGAGCACATTTAGTTACTGTAGCATACTTTGAGAAACAAACATGAAAGCAATGCTTATAATTATGTGATAAGCAAGTATTATACACATTCCCGTGTGATGTTTGATTGACAGAGAGACTGTCCAGTGCAAAAAAAAAACACCTGATAGCAGGTTATCATCATGACAAGCAATTATCTCAGTGCAAAAGGAGACAATATTCAGTACTCTTGTACATCTCAATAATACAAGTCATTGGTCCATCATTACACAAAAGAAGAAAAGTATTAATTTTATCCCAATGACACAGAACAACTCTCCAATGAGCACGATCCTGGCGTGAATGAAGTTATATTGTTCCATTCCATTTACAACAGTGAAAAATAATTTTCATCAGTTAAGAAATCTAATCTGAAGAGAATTAGGGTAGTTGCCCTTCTGAATGAATGAATGATAACTTTATTTATACACGGTTAAAAACATCAGTCTAACATAGAAAATTAATTAAAAATTCTCAAAAACTGTTTTACATATTTGCCGTGCGGGAGTACTGATCAGAAAACCATCTACGGGAACTTATATACAACCTCCGCTCTTTTTAGAAATCAGGTTAATGGTTCCTGTTTCCTACAACAAAAGAAGTAATAAAATGATTATGGTAGATGTACAGCTTGTTTTATAAGAAATTACTTTTCAAAACAAACACTTGGAAGAAAAAAAAGAAAAATCAACAATGACAGAACAAATAAAAATTAGCTACTACAAATAACAAACAGCAAAAGAAATGAGCTTCATACATGTAAACAATTATCCACATGCTAAAACATTATTTGTAGCATGTTGTAAAATGTCTAACAAACACCTGATAGCAGGTTATCATAATGACAAACAAATAATCTCAAGAGCTTGGATTCTCACCTGTTTGCCTGTGTACGACGAGGACGATGATGATGACCCTGATATGAAACTTTTGGATCTCTACGACTCGACTGTGAATCAGAATTCAAAGGAAGCAAAGTGGGACGCTTTAATTTGAAATCAAAGCTATGAAAGCTGATCGACCACGCGAAGCTCATGAAGCATGACGATTCTGGCCAGCCAAACGCATTTTCAAAATATGGACAATCAAAGCTGGAAACCTTTGGGTATAATCAATAGCAAGTTCCCTGTACCTGTTCCAGTGGGCAAAGGAGTAATCCGATGTCAGTTCAATGCTGAAAGCTGAAATATGCTCGAAGGATTTGTAATATAAATACTCGATGTTTACATATACGGTGGACATCCCAAACGGCGCTTTCAGTAACTTCACGCACATAGTTTTGAAGGCAATTAAACAGTAGGTTTCATAAGTTTCATTTAACGTTTCTTGCTATATTTGATTATTTCTTTTTCTACGAACAGCAGTCTTGTAGGTCCTTTTAGCTCACGTTCAGCCGCCAGGCTTCGATGTTCTTATCGATCTTGAATTTTCTCGGGTTTGCGCATGCGCAGTTACGCAAAACAGGCCAAACTACGTCATTATCCACTAGCCAATCAGCGGTTTTTGCGCTCTGTCAACATTGATTGTATATGCCTTGGACATCTAGCTAGTAATGCCCGGTCATTACATGAAAACAGCCAATCAGAGCGCGCATACTATTGAAGCCATATAATAAATACAGATATCGAACTGGATTCGCTTTCGGGACAATCTTCTTTAATAATGAACACGACGTTTACAGTAAAACGCCATGAGTCGTGTTCTATCGGAATCAACCGTTTCAACCACTTGAGATCTCAACAAAATTTTTATTTCAGTCGTTTTTGTTCACACATCGAGGTTACGACGAGGTAAAAACTCAACTCTGTCTTGGTAAGAGACAACTAGAATTCAGTAACACTTTACAATACCTCAAAAATACATCGTATGACAGCAAAATCTCGTAAGTTATAATTTCTATCTAGGACTGTCTAACAGTGTGTCTAATGCGCCTCGCGTTAAATATTATCCGAAGCGGAAAGGAATTCTCAAGACTCGTTATTTATATAAAAAAGGTTTTTTTCACTCATTCATCGGTGGGACTCTAGCCCCCCAAATTAATCTACTTTTAAAACCGATACATCATTGAACCCCGTACTGGAGAAATTGAAACATTTACATCTTCCGATTAAAAAAGGGCTTCAATTAGAGCCAAATTCTTCCGTCTACAACAATTTTCATAAGAAAATTTCACAAGAATATCGCGAGTTTCAAAAATATAATTGAGAAACGTTTGTCATGCTTCTAAATCAAATATCTACATATAACTTGAATTTATTTACTTGGAACATCACTATTCTATTTATCTATCGCTTAAGACGAACTAAAAGACAGGGATGCTGTGTCTTGGTGTTCTTAGAAGATCATCGTCCAGCGTCAACAAGCCCTGAATGAAAAAAATGGAACTAATAATGAGACGAAATACCTTAACAGTACTGAAAAAAAGTAATGTGTACTTTCAATTAATTAAAATAAAAGTTCTTAGGCTATGGGTACTTGAAAGCCCCGTAAAAACAGACACAACATTGTTGGCCAACAACTCCCAACATTGTTGGATGTTGCGTCCGTTTGCACACCACTGCCAACAAGGACGCAACAACTCCCAAAATTGTTGGCCCAACATTGCTGGGAATTGTTGCATCCTTTTGAACACCACTGCCAACAAGGAGGCAACAACTCACAACATTGTTGGTCCAACATTGTTGAGAGTTGTTGCGTCCTTTTGCATGTAGCTTAAGGCCTACTTACCAAAAATGAAAAGAATAAAGCACAGGCGGACAGAAAATGCCACACATCGTGATTATCATAGAAGCCAAGAAGAATACAGTCTTTATTCCCTTCTCGTGATCGAGCTGGGCTTTTCTGCCGAGTAAAACGTGAACAGAAAGTAAGAACAAAATGCTTAAAACGTTTCTAATGAATAAACCTTACAATACAATGCAATATGATGGGAATAGATCGTTGAGTATTTACGAACAAAGTACTTTCAACTTTTGATGTTTGTGTACTTTTATACTTTAAGAATGGCTTAAGACACGCCCTTCTCTCGACCAATGCTTAAATTACAATTTGCGACCCTATATATAAAAGTACATGTATAGAATATCACCACTGTAAGTAAACGAAAACTCATTTGAGTCAAAAGGGGCGCGCAGAATTACCATTTGTAACCAGGGGCCCGTTTCTCGAAAGTCCCGGTAACTTTTCGGGCCTAAAATCAATTCTGATTCAGATCAAAATCCAAAGAATAAAACCAGGAAACAAACCAGTCCATTTTGTTTTGTTAAATGGTACTTGAATATCTCCAGACTATTGTACGCGTGATGTTGAAAGTAAACAACAACAGCTTTCCGGGAGCGTTAATTATTGGGACTTTCGAGAAACGGGCCTAAAGGATAAAAAGAAAAATGATTGTCCCCTCAATGTACTAACAGACGAATACAGCCGCTTCCCGCGAGGTGGAGTACACCGAAATGATGGATTTTTACGTTCTACTTGCGAGTAAATTTAGACCAGTGTGCGACTTTATCATTCAGATTAATGAGAGGACACTTTTCATTTTTCAAAGACCGAAATTCACCACGGTTTAATATATCCTTAATAAGCCTCAATGGTGATTAAAACCAAACGTCTCTTAATCTCTTTTCTCAATCAATCAGAAGGGTCATAAGAATCAAAGATATGATCACTTACGCTTAATTCTCATGATATTTTAACACATTCTCCCCATTTCTTTAATAACAGACGTATGGGACAGGAAAGAAGAATTTGTATTTTGATGTTGGGGATAAAAGTGATAACGGTCACAAACCTGCCAAGATGTCAGATTACTCAAGAAGAAAATAAGTGCAGCTATCCAGCACGCCAGCGTCCAACCAAGGACAAGTAACGGAAACAGAAGGATCCTTTCATTGTTTCTTAGCTGAAAATCAAATTAGACAAAACAAAATATTACAGGGACGTTGCTGTGGAAGGAGATTGTCAACTGTGGTGAAAATGAAATTGCGTATGGCAATTCATAATTGTCCGTTGGGGGAATGGGTAAAAGTTTTCGGTGCAACGATTTCTGGGATCGACTGGGTAGACAAGGGTTACTTATGATTGGCTAATGGTTGCCTTGAATACCATCGAACAATCATGACAAACGCTAGTCCACCCCAAACGATCCAGAAATCACTGTGCCCAGGGCTTGTACCCATTCTCCCTAGAGAATGGGGAATGTTAAGTTAATGAATCAAAGGCAAATCTCGATAAGAGTACCTTCATGATGACATAAAACGCCAAATAAAGGAGTCCATTGACAATCAAAATAGCTAATAGGTAGGTAGCAAAGTCGTTGGGCGTGGTTGCAACACCATATATGGCACTAGAAATCAAACAACCAATCTGTCAGTCTAAACTACAGCTAAACTTCCATTAAGGTGATTCCCTAGTTTTGCACTGCGCATCTCTTACTGCGCATAACAAGATGGCCGCCGTAAAAAAGAGCACGTGAAGTAATATTATTAAAATGAAGTTGACTGAAGAAAAACGCTCTTGGAATTTTTGCTTGCTGTTGTTTCTTGCCGAGGTGAGACTTAATGTGTTGGGAATGTGCATAATGTAAGCAGTACGCGTGTTGCTGAGTTCGACCTCCTCTCGGAGAACCTCGATAGTGGATGTTTAACTTGCGCTTACTCACTTTGATTTTCATTTAAACACTTTCTTTATCACATTGTGTCCTAAATGTGATATCTCGATGTAAATTCTGTAAAAACGGATTTTTTAATACTTTCTTCCCCCTTTCACATATGTTCTATTTTGAAACTCGCCCCAGTCCTCTCTCAAAACTCGGAGAAAATGCGTTTGGTGCGCACTTTCTGCAGCTCTACCGCAAAAAACGAGTACGGTGAACCCCATTTTTTATTTCATGATTTTAATAAGGACAGTGCTTCCTTTCGACGAGAAAAAAATTGGCTCAAATCTATGTCCAGTTTTTTGGCAATTTTGCTAAATTGTACGGATTGAGCCATCACGGGTCGAAAAGCGCGCGTCCAATTTAATTCTACTTTGGAGCGTAAAGTAAAAACAAGGGCATTAAAAGGCATTTTTCTGGTACGTAAGTGGATAAACAATACATTAAAGTCAAATTCTGTGTGATGTCACATGCATCATCGAAAAAATCTCTCCTTTTTGTCGAGTTTTGCGCTGCCTGCGGTTTTTGTAAAAGGGTCCTAAATAGCCGTATTTGTCAGTATTGTGACGTCAAAACGGGCACGGTGACCCCCACTTTTTATTACTTTTTTATCATCTTCTTGACTTGTTACATCAGTGTACCAAGTTTTAACTAAAATCTATGTTAGGTTCTTTTACTATGGAATCACCTTAAGCGGCCACCCTCTACTAAGCAGCCAGTAATTTAAGTCCCGAAATAATTGCAGAAAAAAAAATGTAATTTAAACAGTTAAGCAGCCGCGATTACCTATTGGCCATCACGACAGGAGTTCTTCCATGGTTGTTATCTCTATTAAGCGGTTTGGCCGTATTCTAAAAATGTGATGAAGGAAAATACAGTCCGAGAAAGGTGACGACTGATTGTGGACAGGTAATGCCGCTCCTGTCGCGTGTTTGTTTCATAAAGTGATATTTCTGCTAAAGAATACGCCCATTTCTGTCGAACCTCTATTGAGCGGCTAACCTCTATTCAAAGCGGCCACTTGCCGGTACCCCAAAGGTGGCCGCTTAAGTTCAACTGTAATTACTATAAATATGATCTTTCAGGAGCGACATGTTTTTCCTTTATACTAACGTTTTGTACACAAACCTATAACCACCTTTAGACGACTACTTACTAATGTCAAGGACAAAGACAAACCGGAGGACAGACAGGGAGCAGTATACAAGATGCTGCGACTGGCAGGCTACTTACATTGGCGAAATCGACAGAAACCTTAGCACGCGACTGACCGAACACAAGCGAGCGACGAAAAATGGTGACATCAATAATCACATTGCTGAGCACCAATGACATTACGACCCTTCATAGCCAATAAGATCACGGCTTAAAGGAGCTGTGTCACGAAATTCACCCAAATTAGGTAATTACAAAATGCTCGTTAATATAAGAGAAACGTAAAAATAACCGCTTAAAACATTAAAGGAAGGTTCAATTAACACAACAGATACAACAGATGCCACGGATGGGCAAAACTGAAGAAGATTGAAATGGATTACAATTAGGGTTTTTGAAAACTGTTCAGCCTAACAATTTTTTCAAAGTTGATCTCTGCTGTTTGCAACTTCAAAAATAATGCTCAGGAGACATATTTGTTTGTCTCGAATCTTTGATTTTGTCATTTCCATGGAATTTTTTTGCTTACTTTAAGTTCGATAGCGATTGAGGGCGAGTAATTGGCAAAATTAAACAAAATGAACTGGACTGCCGAGACACAGCCCCTTTAACTGACAGACGACCAATAATATCGCGACTTTATTGATCACTAGCTCAATAACCAGAGTTTAATACCATCAACTGACGTGAGTACAACTCACTTTGACTCTGAACATGACTACCGCACAGATTGTCAAAACGTTAGTCACTGTCAACAACAACAGTCCTATTCAGGACTACGTTCACCCGGACGATCATACTCAACCTACTTACGAAATGACTCCTGGGCTCAAACCTTTCACACTAACGTTTTTATCAGTCGAGTTTGTATATCTCTCTTACACAAATACTGAAATAACAATCTGTTAAGCATTAAGTAAGCACAAAGCCTACTTACAAAAACCAGTTGATCATATTGGCAATCACCAAAAGAAGCATTCTGTCCTGCAAAACAAATAGACCTTTTATTGAAACCACTAGCATCACTTGAGGTTTTTAAGGATATACAAAATTCGGTATCTTCACTACCAGAACAGCTGTCGTAATAAGAGTTGTGCATTTTAATGGAGGTGTCCGCTCACTCGTTCTATTCCAGTTTCTATTACTGATACGTCAGCTACTCGAGCGTAAATACCGTACACCCGAACTTTCCATGAAATATTCTGTACGTACGTAATAATGAGGTATCCGTAAAGCGGGATTTGATTGTATTACATTGCGCGCGAAGACTGGTATTGCGTAACTTCGATTTGTTCATGGGCACGTTTCGCAGGACGAACAGTCCGCAGTTTCCCGCCAAGCGATAGTATCCACAAAAAGGTCCCATAGTGCAATTCGACATAACACCGACCCAATCTCACGGACAACTTCGCCACTTTATAAACGAGAAGGAAACTGGGCCGACTTAACTTTCACAAAGACTTCTGGGGCTGTTAATTGGGAAAGCGAAAGAAATTAGCCAATAGCTGACCGACGCACCGACGCGTACCTAGTAACAATCCCAGAAACAATTGCGGGACGCATTTGGGCTCCAGTCCCCTTCTGGTTTCTTAAGTGGTGGATTAGGACAACATTTTCAAGAAAGACACTGAATTACAACAAGTTTACCTTGTACGTTGGGCTAGAGCAGCAATCGTATCGCAACAAGATAAACACTCTTGAAAGCATTCCAGCATCTGGCAAACGCAACAAAATCGAGATAACATGTTATGTACAGTGATTTACTGTTTGATGATGCAACCAACACTTTTCAAGCTACCGCCAAGTAGAAGTGTAATTGAAAAGGAAAAAATAGAGTGTTTTCAAATGACGTTACGGCGGATATATTGGTGTTCCAAACAGATCCTGTGGTAGTTGAACTCTTTCTTCTGCTCTAAGAAATCTGGATTGATGCTGGCCACCAGAGTGAAAACGCTCCATAGGCAAGAAAGCTCGAGAATTGCAAGAAAAAAAAAGCACTTGTGGCACTGTTTACTTCTTGTGGGCCGGGGAATGAAAACGGTGCTTTAGTTATTTTTCTTCACATTTCCCATAAAAAAAATTCCTTGATTATGCAATTTATACAAAAAAAAAAAACATTTGTTCTGGAATAAGAGAAAGTATTTTACTTACCAAACTTGACCCTTCCCATGTAGTATATTTGAGAACTGAGGTACAAGCATCCAAAAATATGAATTATGGCAAATGTCGTCCAGAATGCAAATGAACTGTAAACCTTCAATAACAAAACAATGAAAAAATAAGCAGTAAATTAGTAATGAATTTAGTTAAATATGCCTGATCTGAGCGGCCTTCGAGACAGCCATCGCTACTTAAATCGTCAAACGAATGACAGCATGATCCATGATCTGAGAATTGATTTCACCATTTGCAGATCTCCAATAGTACATGTTTGCCCTCCAAAATTTTGCATAACCTTTGATTTCAATTCCTCCTGGGTATTTCAGTCGTCCCAAAAGAAATTGAGGACAATGCTTAAGCCATTTTTTAGCGGGGGGGGTGGCGTTGGGTGCAACAAGGTGTATTATGGGAGATATGCAAATGACGAACACATCCTTTAAGAGGATCGGCCATGTGGTAATAGGATTGGCTATGATGACCTAAACTGTAGAGGAACGAACACAGACGAAAACCAGGAGCACGAATGGGGAAAAACTGGAATTAGTTACAGAATTAAAAAGGCTCTGCAGGGTAGCTGTAGTCAAATGGTGTTAAGTTTGCATCAGTATAAGATTCTGGGAAAGTAGCCGCCTACCCCTCCCCTAACCCAGCGTTCACACTAATTTCCGATTTAAGGCAAAATGTAGAATTAGGGGAGGGGTAGGTGGGCTGTTTTTCTTACCACTCCTATAACGGCTATGAGGATGATCAACGCAAATCCAGCGTAGACGCTGTGAGCGTTGGCGGCAATGTCTGGATGGCGGGTTTGATAAAGCTTCACTATACCAAGACAGGTGATGATGTACATAAACGACGTGTCTAAATAAAAAATGAAAAGGAGTAGAGTTCATTGGCTGAGAAAGAAACAAAATGATGGCGACCATAGGAGAGAAACAACACCAAGTGTGATGCTATGTACGACACTTTCGGCCTTGATTTTCATATCAAAACGGGGACACCAATGTTCTTAGTTGATTCATAAAAATGCAGTGGAACTGAGGCTATAACAAGGACCTTAAGCACCTGCGTCAGGAAGAAAACGAAGACGAAATTATGACGTATGCGTCCCAAACAGACTAAAGGGTGGCGAGGGTTAAACTTTGTTTTCGTCGCGAAAAAGAAACCTTAAGAGGGAGAATGAAGACAAAGTTTAGACATGGCATCGTTTAAAGAAATTCGTGAATTCATTGTAAGATGCTATGCCAAAGACTTGTTCGATGAAAGACGGAAACAAGCTATGGAAAAGAAAACGAGCCTAAGCTGTGGTGATAAACATTTAAACGAAAAGAAATCGAAAAGTACTTGTAGAGGGAACGTAGTAGTATAGCAGGGATGTTTTTCTCCTGTTTCTGCGCAGATATCTCCAAAGCGAACAGAGGAATAAATTAACGTTAATGACGTCAAACGGTCATGAATAAAACACGCTCAAACTTGATGTTAGCCAAAATCATTGAATCGTATCGTAACTATAGAGTGTTTTCACATGACGTCACGGCGGCCATATTGGTGTCCCAAAACAATGAAACGGCGGCCATGTTGGTGTCCCAAACCAGTCCTCTGGGAGTTGAACTTTTTTCTTATGCAAACGCTTTCTTTTGTTCCAATAAATTAGCATAGATGCTGGCCACGTGAGTGAAAACACTCTATACAAGTTTTGTCGTCCATGGTTCTGTTTTACTGATTCGCGGCGCGCAATCAGCCATTTCCGAAGACCAAAAACTCTCGCTTTCAGAAGGAGGCCACGTGCAAGAACTTTGTGTAAAATTTTGCATATGATAGAATTCGCAACTACCCTAGTTTTGAAAAGGAGGCAAAGACCAACTCAGAAGTGGCCTACTAAGAATGAGGACAAAGGCAAACTAATTCTATTATACTAAACACAATAGATTTTTGTTGACGCTGTTTTCCTCTAATTGCTTTTCCTCGCTTTGATTTTCTCTCTTTCTCTCGCTTCTGGACTACTCACTTACCAAACTGGAAATTAGAATTGTTAGGACACACGTGATAACAGGCTGACAGAACACCTTCCATTATCAAGGCAAGCGCTGCAACAACAACAACAGAAGTAAATAAAGTTGGTATCTTTAAGGTAACTAGCATAATACAGCCCGGTCTAGTCCACATTGCAATAATACCAAAGAAAGTGGGTAGCTACTTGTACTTTTACCAGGAAAGGGGTTTTTGGGGATCCGCGATTTGACCAAATTCCAGCGCGGGGTTGGGGAAACGTTAACGGGATACGGGTTTTAACTACTAATCGGGAAGCGAGATTCGCCAAAATTTAGCACGGATGCGGGATTGGGAAAGACAACGATATTCGGGATAACGAGGAAAGAATTCGGGATGCGCAATTCTCGTTAAAAAGGAACAGAAATACAAGATCAGGGCCCCCATTCCAGACCTGTTTCACTTTAATTTTCTATCCCTGAGTTACAACACGTCAAGTAAGAAAGTTTATTTATTGAAGACTTAAAGCAACCACTTACCCATGGCATAAAATATCGCATAATGCTGAGGAATTCCGTAATACTGAAAGAAGGACAACAATTATAATATACTGTATAAGAAATGTAACAAACCGTTAACATCGGTACAGTAATAGACATGAAATGGCTTAATTTCAATTAATCAAGAAAAATAAAGTAATGTACTAATACCTTCTCCATATCACTATTGTCAGTTATATCTTGCATATGTTGCCTGTCTCTAAAACACAAGAAAAAACAACATTAAAAAAAGGGAAGAAGTAAAGCAACCCTCAAATAAGTCAACCACTCCCCTGACCATCTTTCTAACATCACATATTACGGACTACGACGGCGGCGGCAGTGAAAACGTCGCCAAAAAAATGAAGTTTTGTTCCTTCAAACTTAATCGCGTCTTTGGACCCGCTCAACATGTCAAATGCAGGCGACTTTTCCTGGAGTTGAATTCTAAAGAATTTTATCAGGTTCAAAAAGAAGGAAATTTCGTCGTCGTATCTCCACGTCCTTCATAAAACGTCAAATTAAGAGGTTTCATGTCGTATTCGTGCAGTGGACGTCAAAGAAATGTACTAAAGAGGGTGATGCACCTGCAGAGCTGTTGTTTTGATCATTAAACCTATTGTTTTTTGAAGTAGTCGTTGCGGTCCGCGTCGTAGTTGCTTAAGCTCCCTATTAATAAACTGCGGTCGAGATAAGCCTCCTCCGCAGGCATCACTGTCCTGTTTTAGAGAAAGAGTGGGAGAATGGGGAAAGAACTGAGTGACTCCTCTTTTCTTCTTCTTTTTTCGTTCTCAGATTCATCACGGTCAGTGTACTGTTACAAAAGGCAATGCCTGCGGAGGAAGCTAGGTCGAGATTCGAGTGTGAGATAACAAATTGTTTCAACGTGAAAATGAGGCAAGTACCTCTAGAGAAAACGAGGTTAATTTGCGCCACAGGGAAAATGGCCGCCAATGTGAATCTTTTACCCCATAATACATTTAGGAAGCAGTGTTACAAATTGAGCCCCTGTTCTTTCCTCACGTTTGTAACTTTTTCTGTTGAGATATTTTCAAAATAGATAGCGGAGAGTAGTGAGATGTTATGAGTATAGTTACCGTCGCATAACAAGAAGGAAAAACAGGAATCCTAACATGATATATCCAACGTTACTCCACACATTGTTAAAGGCACTGCAACAAGATCAAAGAGAGAAAAGTTCTAACACACGCATCATCAACAAAAGTACGTTAGAAATTTATTGCGAAGAACTTGCTGACACAGTGTAGTTTTAACATGAATTCTCCCATGCCGTTAGGAGTGCACTAAAGAGCCAATCTGAGGGTTGGAAAGCGCTTATTCTGCAGCATCCGATTGGTTTGATTTAAATGGATTTTCTGGGCCGTAAAGTGAACAGGGAAATTGTACTGAAAAAGGGTTTTCAACTCGAGAGGTTACCTCGACCCTTGCATTTTTTATGAAGTAATGGATATAAATTGCTATAATGCTTATTGTAGCACTGCCGTTGACATGACTTGCTTGATAAGTCAATAATTCACTAAAAATAATCAAGGAGCCTACTACCTATAAGCCCAGTGGTTTCCCTTAAGGCTTAGTCGCCATTAGGTTTATAAATTTATGTCACTTGTTTTGAAAAATGACAAAACAATATTTTAAGGCATACCGATCGAAAGCATGGCATAATTATAACTATAGCCCATGAGTAATTATTTAATGTTTCACCTCAATACCCCCAAAGGATGAGCACAAAAAAAGTTGTAGTAGCAAATATCTTCATCTCCGCTGGCATTAAGAACCTGGAAAATAACATCAACTAATCTTACTGACACAATTTATTGCGACATCTTACTTTCGCCACACAAAAGGCAAAACAACAACAACAGCGACAATGATACCAGTAACACAAGGTTAGGAATCCCAGATGGCTGAAGGCAAACCATTTAGCTATTTACAAGTGTCAACGATTTGAACTCAGGACTATCAAGAATAAATCCAGCTAGTGGCGAGGGTGGGACTTGAACCTGGGGCCACCAGATTATAATCCCAGCGCCATAACCGCTAGACCATACTGCCTCCTTTCTAAAAGAGTTGACTATTTCTACAACCGATGCCTTACAGAGATGTAAGAAAGTAATGTCCAACCATGATGGAAATCTGACTCTATTTATTTCAACTTTATTTCAAATGTAAATACCTTTTGATATGTGATAACGAGTTGGACAACTGGAAGGGCATAGAATACAGCTATCATCAACAGATTCCTATATCAATTGAAAAAAAATAATAAAAAAAAAACACAGAGATTTCAGGAGAACAATTCCCTGACTCTTAATAGATCAATAGAGGAGTATTATATCTGACATGGCCAAAATAAATTGTCCCTGAAAACAAAGCTGATTAGAAGTGGGCTAGGATCCAGCTCCATAGTGGGGGAAAAAGGCCAAACAATGGGCGAAACAGCCAAAAATGGACTGGGGGCGGAGAGGGGACCCTTAACCCTTTCCAGACTCCCCCTCAGCTGACTTGGCCAGCTGATTTTTTCCCGTCTTTTTCCCCACTGTGGAGCCTGGTTCCAGGCTGATTAGAAGTAAAGGGCCAACTAAAGGATGGGCCAGAATCTGTACAATAGATTGAGATACTCAAAATCAAATTAAAATTGCATTATCATACTAACCAGTGATATAGTCTGTATTTCTTTTGAAGGTATTTCTTTTCTTTCTTAGCCAGATCTGTCAGCATCAAGCTAGTCTGATGACCCAAAAGAATTTGAATTGATAAATTTGAATGCACCTTTAATTTCTCGGGTTAATAGTAGTTGAACAACTCTACTTTACTAACAATAGATGTTATCTGGACTACTAATGTTGCATATATCTGTCTGAATTACTCAATGCAAGGGCATACCTTAAACTGCCACTTACAAGCCCTGGATATACATCTTCTTAACCCAACGGGACTAATAACTGGTAGATCCAAACCTGACCTTGGTGAATCCCAACGAAATACATCCACTATACTTGGATGACTAAATTTTGATAAAACATTTGAAATATATAAACTCTAAGTTCTATGAGAACCTTGACATGTAACCACAACTTCCTGAAATATGCAATAATTCTTCAAGCACTTGTTCATTTCATTGACAATGATAATTATTTACTTACTCACCCTGAGCCTGTAAATATCTTTCTCCTGATCAATATCATGCAACATGTCATAATGTTGCTCAAAATCCCGTGAGGTAGGATCTTTTATTCCATCAGTGACTAAAGAATGGTCCTCCTCTAATTGATCAACACTATCATGATCAAATAACACTTCATTATCTGCTGGAAAAAAAACAAACACAAAACAAACAGTCGATTCTCTTTTTCAACATCTCTATAAGACCCCCATGAAGTGGACACCTAGACTTGTCTCTGCTATTCCTCAGTCATTTTCTTTTACCCTTTAGCCCTAAGAGTGATCAGCATCGAATTTCTCCTTGTAACATCAATGCTTTGTCAAACATGTGGTCATGAGAATTACGGACATGATCACACGAGATGAATTTGCTTGATATTTTATCAACTTCTCCCCACTACTTCTGTAGGAAATGAATAGGGGCAACAAATGAGAATTCAAATGTTGATCTTAGGGTTTAAAGGGTTAAGCTTATGTGCCAGACAAATTTTCCACCGGTTGAAAATTCAAGCGCTTAGAAGTTCCGTTCACAGGGAACCACCTTAACCCAGGGCTGTCACTAACACTTCAAGTTGCGAGGTATATGTGATTAGTAAGAGAAAATTGTATGGTTAGAAAGTTCTTCTGGTTCCATTTTCCTTTTGTTTTCTATGAAAGTAGCCGGGCCTCACGCTCATAGCAGCCGGGGAAAATCCAGAGCATGCTCCAGGGGCACGCTCTGGGAGCAAAGCTCCTCCGTATGTACCAACGATTTCATGGGTATACTTCATCTTCGGGAGCAGAATTTCCACCCCGCAAAATGCTCCACGATATTTAACCGGTTAAATATTTGTGAGCAAGCTCCCGGGGCAAATTGAGCGAACTTGAAAACACTCCCTTGTGTGTACTGACATGTGCAAAATGAGTCTGGAGCATGCTCCAGGAGCAAAACCCCTCGTGTGTATCGCCCTTTACTGTACTAGCTGATTCCGCAAGTGAAAATTTCCAGGATTATGGAATCCAGATTCCAAGATTGATACTGACCATGCAGAGTTGTCCCATAATGATCTCGTGTTCTTGATCTCCTGGACGAGGAAGTCCTCAGTGGAGCGCTCACTGGAACATCTAAAGTGGACAACAAAATGTTGTTTAGCATCAAATGATAATATTTACTTCCCCTCCCTATAAACAATACAAACATTAAGGAGAGTACATTTTTCATTTCCAGTAGCAGTTAGTTGATCTCTTCCACAGAGTCTGGATATCCATATGGGACTAGCACTTGAAAACTACAGAATCACCTTTTCAATGATTAGCACATGATAAAAGTCTAACCTTAAAAAATTTAAGATGGCAGGTTTTATTGCTTTGCCAAATTAAGCATTCAGGGCTGTGGGGATGGTTGCTATGGATACCTGCCTGCTATGCCTGGGTTATTTTAGACCCTACCCTAACTACCTTTTGAGGCACCAGTTCCCACGTTTATTTATTGGCGATGAGCTTAGTTTAAGTGATTAATTAAACAATCTGTAGGTAAAGTTTAAGCAGATTTTACTAAATTTCAATAGCAATCCTAGAGTCGAACCTTCTGTGAGCCACCAGTTAAAATGCCGAGATTTAGTGATTGCTTACAGGAGGCGAACTAGAGGGGTTTATACCAAGAAAAAGTATGGCGTAACTACTGTTTTGACTCTGAGAATTAATTCCATACAAATTCAAAATTTCAAAACGAATAGTAACATGTCAGTAGTCACTCTTTTACTCTGAGTTACTGTTTGCATGAAAGGGTACAGCACACATAGGAATGGACTACATGGTCAACTGTCGCTTATAAGCCCTCAGCTTATACATCTTTGCAAGGGGTTTTAAGAAAGCTTATAAACGGAGAGGCATACCATAAAATTCCAAAAATAAGCCCTGGGGCTTATATTTTTCAAAGGCCCTTTTTGAGGGGCTTATTTTTGGAGGGGCTTATCTACAGAGGGAAATTTGTGTTTCAAAATCGATTGGGCTAGCCTTAAAGTTGGAAGTAAATTTACCGTTTTTGCTTTGTTCTACTTTGTGTTTGAGGGCAATTTTCGAAGTACAAGCCCCCGTGGGGCTTATATTTGGAGGGGCGATTTAACGGAGGCTTTTCGCGTTACCAGTTTGGGGGGTTTACTTTTGGAGGGGCTTATACATGGAGGGGCTTATTTTCAGAATTTTACAGTATTTCTGAGCGGGCTTATATCTGAATAGAAACAGCGCTTTGAAACAAGCTAAAGCAGTGCTGATCAAAATACATTTTGCATTTACTGGTTTTTAGTTAAAGCTTCAAACTGTCAAAATAAATTGAATTCAGACGGGGGCTTACAACTGAAGCTAAAGAGGGGCTTATAATCGGATGTATTTTTTTGTTTACAGGCAGATGGGCCTATAACTTGGAGGGTATATAAGTGGAGGGGCTTGTAAGTGGCAGATTATGGTATGACAAATGTATATGAAATAAAGCATATATGAGAACAGCGGAAATAAAATCAAATGAAGAATGAATCTTGCAGTTGTGAACACAGTTTATGGTTACCGTATGTGATGTTGTCTCTTACAGGGGGTAAAAAAAAAAACAAAACAAAATTCTAATAAAACTTTTTCTACTTTTTCATGTGTTAACCCTTAGCATACCTTCAATATTGCCTTCTTTAGGCATCAGAATAGACCTAAAACTTCTTTCCCTGCGCCCTCCCCTTTGTCTGGAGACACAAAATACAAATACAGTAATCAATAAAAAAGGTTTATGAAAGTTAAAAAAAAAAAACAAAAAAACAATTGTACAATGCAGTTAGTGGAGAGTGATTTCCTAAATCAGCAACTTGTATCAAAGTAATGTCATGCCAACATGGTTATCATGTTTGCTGTAGTTTTCACTTGTAGCAGGTAAAATTACTTTTACAGGGAAGAAGTTACTGAAACAGTAGCAATCCTCGTTTACATGGCAGCTGTGGTAGTTTCTAATGTTTTGATTATTCTGTATGGCTAGTAAAAATAATTTTCCTCATGCATATCTTTCAGGGCACCTTACCTGCACTCTTGATTCAGTGGTACAATATTTATCATTGGCTTATCCAAGATAGCAATAGAGTACTAAAGTGTGACGTCATAAAAATGAAATTTCTGAAATTATGGGATTTATCAGGATATTCTGAAAGAACAATGCCCAAGAGGCCTATTTGCCAAAAATGAGCATTTCTGGGCAAATTGTCCCTGAGATCATAGCCCAGTTATGCTTAGAAAACTCCATACAAACCCTTCTAAATTTTCTTGGGTCGACCCAAAAAAAAATTAGAAGGGTTTGTATGGAGTTTTCTGAGTTTAACCGGCTAACATCTCAGAGACAATTTGCCCAGAAATGCTCATTTTTGGTAAGTAGGCCTCTTGGGCATTGTTCTTTCAGAATATCCTGACAAATCCCATAATTTCAGAAATTTCATTTTTATGACGTCATCACTTTAGTACTCTATTTAATAATAAAAGGGACTAGGTAAATCCTGCATCTCATTATGACCTGTATTGCTAAGTTATAAGGGACAGTTCTAAGGTTTTAAGGTTCTTAGGTTCTAAGGTCTAAGGAATAGTTCCCTGCGGGACACAGGAAATGCCTATTGGCAATGGCTACTATGCCCCTGATGATGTCAAGGCCTTACTTACCGGCACCAAGTGATAAGCAGTACAATAAATGCAATGAGATAGAAAGATGCAAAAAAAGCAACAGGAACACCAATGGCCTTGACATAGGCTTTTGCTGCAAAACACAAAGGTCATAGAAAAAGTCATTTTATGTATGTAACCCATTGACAGCAAATCCGAGTGGAAAAGACAACTTACCAAGTGAAGCTAGCACCGATTTATCTCATCCCTGAGCCCTTTGATCTCTGAACAAATCTATTTAATTCCTGAACCTGCCCTTTTATGCTTTGTTTAAGGTGGCTCGACTGGATTTTTAGGGGTTGATACCTCCCAAGTTTGAGCATTAACTACGTCGGCATGAGTAAAGATATCGAAAAAAGGTTACCACAACTGTATTACATAAAGATGAAAATTTCTTAAAATCTGGGTTTTATTGCAATCGGAGTCGCCATGGCAACGTAATGACGCCATTACGTTTTTCATTTATGCTTGTGTTTCTCTGTACCAGGAGTTTTTTGAAGAAATCGCTTAAGGGAGTATGTACCTGCCATAATTGCCTCCATTATGGCAAAGTTTAAAGAAATTCTATGAGAGCGTTTTCGAAATATTTTGAAATACACTTTTAAGAATCATAAAAACAGTGAAATAGCATGCTAGCCGCTCAATTCGCTAATATATTAAGAAAATGATAAGCTTTGGGAACGCGGCTTCATCTCATAGTGGGTTGATTCCATTGAAAACTGCATACAAAATTATTGTTACAATTATTGTTCTGGGCGATCGCGAGTAAGAAGAATTTTATTAACTTGCATTCAGCTACTTTTGATACAGTTTTTGGAGGTAATTTGGTCCATGCCTAAGAATTTCGCATTTTTCCAAAAACCGCTCGATAAATTTTTTATAAATTCGACAATTCGAGATCAGTTGTCAAGAAATATTCCTGCAAGTTTCAAGAACATTGAAAACAGGGAATGACTTTTAAATAGGGACTCAAACATGACCAATTTTTCCCCAAGATTTTGTGTTTTACGGTGAGCGTCTTCATTATTCACTGGCATTGTTTTCAAGTTTCATATGCACGTGCACAACTAGCAAAAATATAAATTTGCATCAAAAAGAACTCTCGATTACTTTCGAAGAAATATCCGTATATGCTCATAATTGGCTTGTCATCACAGATAGCAGTGAGAGCCGAAACGGTGAACGCCTCGGCTCATCGTGTAGGATGCAATACTTAATTATCTTACTTGGTTATAACATCACAGAAACTCTCACAAAGAGTTGCTCTGATGTTATAATGTATCACTAACCTCTTTACCCGGTAATTAGCATATCCCAAGATTTAACCGAGGGTCTTTTTTTGATGCAAATTCTATCTTTTTGCTAAATGTGCACGTGTATATGAAACTTGAAAACAATGCCAGTGAATAATGAGGACGCTCACTTGTAAACACAAAATCTGTGGGGAAAATTGACTATATTTGAGGCCCTATTTAAAAGCCTTCCCTGTTTTCAATGTTCTTAAAACTTGCAGGGAATATTTCTTGACGATTGATCTCGGAATTGTCGAATTTATAAAAAAATTTATCGAGCGGTTTTTGGAAAAATGCGAAATTCTTAGGCATGGACCAAATTACCTCCAAAAACTGTATCAAAAGCAGCTGAATGCAAGTTAATAAAATTCTTCTTACTCGCGATCGCCCAGAACAATAATTGTAACAATAATTTTGTATGCAGTTTTCAATGGAATCAATCCACTATGAGATGAAGCCGCGTTCCCAAAGCTTATCATTTTCTTAATATATTAGCGAATTGAGCGGCTAGCATGCTATTTCACTGTTTTTATGATTCTTAAAAGTGTATTTCAAAATATTTCGAAAACGCTCTCATAGAATTTCTTTAAACTTTGCCATATTGGAGGCAGTTATGGCAGGTACATACTCCCTTACGCGATTTCTTCAAAAAACTCCTGGTACAGAGAAACACAAGCATAAATGAAAAACGTAATGGCGTCATTACGTTGCCATGGCGACTCCGATTGCAATAAAACCCAGATTTTAAGAAATTTTCATCTTTATGTAATACAGTTGTGGTAACCTTTTTTCGATATCTTTACTCATGCCGACGTAGTTAAGGCTCAAACCTGGGAGGTATCGCCCTAAAAAAATCCAGTCGAGCCACCTTAAGTCCTTTGCACTCTCCCATCCCTTTGAACTCTGATCCCATCCCTTTGATTTCTGACCACACCCTTTTGTGCCATGTCTGGACCCTTTGCACTCACCCACACATATCACTCCTGGCCTTTTGATCTCCGACCCCATCCCTTTGACACTACATATAAGTCCTTTCCACCCAGCCACCCTTTTGATCTCTCACCTTGTCTCTTTGATTTCTGACCCCACCCTTTTTAATACCACATATGAATCCTTTACACTCTCCCACAAATATGTCAAGCTAGCTACACTCACATGATAGAGTGCGTTCCACTGTTATGGTGACAGTTTTCTGCCTTTCTGAAAGTGGACCTGAAGGAAGAGTTTATAGAAAAATTAAGCTTTTAATGGATCTTTCCATGGTCTTTTCGTCTTTTGACTGGGACCAGTTAGCGAAAATCTGTCAACACGGCTGCATGGAAAGAACACCTTAAAATAAGGAAAGTTGCCAAGTTTGAAAGAGATTTGAATGTTAAAAACTGATGAAGATAAGCTTTGCAAAGTCATATAATTTTACAGATGTTTGAAAGGTCAAGGCAAGTTCATGCCCCCATTCAACAAACATCTGTAAAACTTCACCACTCCATGGAGCAATTTATTATCTGTGCTCGCTTTGGATGAAGTACCCTTAAACTTGGTAAGCTCCCTAATTTCAAGGTTAACTCTTTTCAGCAGTGTTCCCTTTAAGTCCCAGTGGTGACCAACATCAATTTTCCCCTAACGACATCCATACATAGTCAAGAGATAAGGTTATGAGATTTAATCAAATGATCAACTTAAAGAAATGTATGAATATCAGTGTGGAGAATTCTGGATATTGGGGCTTAAAGGCTTATCAAAACCTGTAAAAACGGTGGAAGGGTCTATTACTATAAAGCCACCAACAAAGCTAAACATTGACAAAATAGAAATGGTGCAAAGATGATCTGCCTGCTTCGTGACAAACTGTTATGATCGCACAGCAAGTGTCACTGATATGCTCAATAATCTAGGGTGGGATTCCTTGGAATTAAGGAGGAAAAGGAATAGTTTGGCTATGATGAACATGCTAATTCATAATGGTCTTGCTGAAATAGAAAAGTACAAGTATCTCACTCCAGAATCTCACGTGCGCACACAAGTCATCATTTACATAATTTGGTATATAAAGTTGTTTCGTCCTCTAAAAACTACCACAAATTCTCATTCTTTCCAAGAACTATATAAAAGAATGGAACAGCCTGCCGCAAAACATGGTTGAGTTGCAATCACTGGCCTCTTTCAAGGCCTGGCTGGCTAAACATTTTTGAAACCCTCCAATATACTTTTTTTAATGGGACTTTGAAATGTTTTTGATGGAAACCCCGACCACTTGGAGGAATCATCTTTATAGATGGAGCCAAGTAATGGAAAAAGAACAAGAACAAGAAGAAGAACCCAGGGCTGTAGAGTTATAGAAATCTCTCTTGCCAAAAAATAGGGGTAAAAACTAGTCGAAACCTTTCAGATTGTCACCTGCATAATGTGAGTCTTTGGAATTCATTTTCTTTCCATGAGGCTGTGCAAAGCGTTCTCCAGTAACACATTCTTCATCAGATGACTTAACAATGATAACAACATAGAACTCGTCTTGACTAAAGGTGGATCGCTAAGAGAGGGAAGAACAAAGCAGATTTAAGTTGTATAAAAAGTCAAATCCAAAATCAGAGCAGTACTAACAAGACTAAACTAGTAATAACCAAAGGTCAGTGAGTGTAGATGAAGGTCAAAATGCTCTTGCTCGAATGCTCCGCTTTGTGTAAGTTTCATGTGATACAAGATCAAAATGCATGTGATCAAATTTTGAGTGACAAAAGGTCTAAATATCCATAATCAGATTGCGCTCTATGCATTCCACTCATTCTTTTCTGGAATTCCAAGCAAACGCTGGCTACATACATGCTGCGCATGAGTAATAGCAACCTTGAGATTAGGAGTGTGAGCTCCGATGGCCGCTCGCAATCACTTAGCCTGTCAACCTGTCCTTGTAAGCTAATTACAAAATTATATGGGATGTCAAACTGGTATTGATCTGTTAGGCGGAGAGTTTTAGACAGGAGATCATGAGTGAGTGTTTACAAGTAAGGCTGCAAGGCTGAGCAGTTAAAGCATGGGACTTGCAATCAGGTGGAGCGGAGTTCAAGTTCCGCCCTGCTATAACTGGCTGGATCTGTTATTTGGCTGGCTGGTTAAGTCCCAAGTTCAACTTCTTGGCCACACCTCTGTAAATAGCTTACTTGTTTACCCCAGACCAGTTGAGATTCTTAACTCTGTCTCATCATCCCCGAAAAACCAGTTAAGAGTAGCGGACAAATACAAATTAATATCTTTTAATTTCTTTTTCGTTTGACCCTGGCAAGGTCCCACTGATCAGGCTGTGGAGGGTTGGAGGGGGGGAGGGGGGGACAAACCCTCCCCTTCCTCCCCACTACAGCAAAATATGCTGAAAAGTTTTTTCTCAACTCTCAAGCCATTGGTTCTAAATACAAAATGTAACAAAAAAATGTTTCTTCCCAAAAAGGTGGCTGTCTTGCCCACCTGGCTAAAACCAATAAGTTGTTGCAGTTTATATCCATTTCACTTCTTGTTCAGAATTATTTTACAAAAATTAATTCTACTTTTTCAAAGTTAAACTCCACCTCCATCGTGATAGCTGCTTTAGTTGTCATAGTCTGAAAATAGCCAGTAAATTCCACATTTCTCGCAAGATCATACACTGGACACTGGAATGAAATATAAAGTACCATACTTTATAATGACTACAATTTATAAACTTTATTCTAGCAGCAAAAGAAAATACAGGGTGTGTCAATATACCTGCTACATTAAGCACATTATCATTGTCAATAGAGGGTGTAAAGACAGACTTTGCACTGCCACAAGCATGTGTCATTCGGGAAAATAGAAACAGCCAAACCAAAACTCTTAGAAATTCCAATTTGACTTCACACAGGCGGCTGCTGTTGTATTCTATCAGCTTTAGGAACCCCTCCCTCATGAATTTTTCAATAACTTTCCAGGGGGATGAGCTACTTAAAAATGCTTCCTTAAATAAAAAAACTATTACTAATAAAAAATGAATCACACAAAAACAGTATACCTGGGTTCCTTGTATTGACAAAATGGCGCACAACTTAGCATTCTCAGACTCAGCTTTTACAACAACAGTATCCACATCATCTGGGAATCTCCACAAAAAATACTGTGAACAGAGGATTGAAACAATTTGATGAGTTTTGGAAGTTACAGAAGGCTAGAAAAATAGTATGCATTTAACTTAAAGTTTTGATAGTCTTACCATGGGTTGTGCTGGATCCACTGTGACAGTTTGTGGTTCGTGTAACCTGTTAAAATCAAGTTTCATTGTAAATGACTTTTTTTGGTTATTCATGTTTTTGGTAAAGCCTTAGCAGTGCCTCACAACAAGAAATAAATCCTGCTCCAGTGCCTTCCAATATTGCAAGAGATGTGGCAACATTCTTTAAAGATTGCATCATTCGATCAAAACGTGCAGTTTGTCTTTTATCCCAAAGCGGGGAAATGAAATATAATTTTCCCACTGAAATAAAAAACTCTACTTTGGGTTTCATGTTTTTAAATATAAGTTGAAAACGTAAAACACTTATCATGTAGCACAACCACATGTGGAGATCGCCCCCCAGTTCCACTTGGGGAGTCTGGGGACTTCCCAGAGAAAACTTCAATAAATTATTTAGGTGGCCCTGAAAAGTTTATTTTCAGTAAGTTTTAAGCCACCAAGGAAAGAATTTTAATCATAAGGATGGCTTCCTTACTTACCATCATTTGCTTCATTTTTAAATAATTTAAATTATTTATGTAGTATTTAGGGGTGCTATACAGCTCTTTACAAGGCGTCACAGTATTGGCTGTGAAACAATAGACAGAGAAATATAACAATGACTCTATCCCTTAAACAATGGAGCTGTGTGTTTTGGAGAACCAACAAAAGGGGTTGGTTTTTAAGAGCTGAGTACTAACTGAGTATTTACGTAGTATGACTTTGCAGTTATTATTAGGGTCCTCACACAACGCTTCTCCCCAGGCACATCCCCCTTCTCCTCATGACTGTCAGTCTCTTTGATATTATTCACTTAGAACTACTCACATCAAAATAAAGTTATCAACAAAATCTGCTTTCAGAGTATAATTGACAGGCTTTGGAGAAAAAGTGGAGACATCAACAGAGAATGATTCAGGCAGAACAGATCCATTAGTTAATGATATGTAGCTATGAAGAAAGGGGCACAGGGTACGGCTGGCAAGACTGTAATTATACCTACAAACAAACAACAAAAAACCACAATTAACTCTGGATAATGGAAGAGAAACTAAACATTGTAATTATGAATTTAAATTTGAAATACTGGAAAAACTAAATCATTTTATTTTTGAGGCCAGCTATTAAGGTTAAAAATAAACAATAAATAAATGAATAATGATTTGGAGGTAGCACATCCACAAAGTATTTCTTTGTCTACCTGATTCCTGGTCGAATACCACTTTTTCTACCAGCAATCAAAGGCACTGTCCTAACTTGAGTCACACAGCTACATTTGGTACCTTCCTTCTCCCTTTCCATGTGTTAAGGTGTTTTTGATTGATTTGTCCAATTTAAAGGCCAACATTGAAAGCGAGAGCAAGAAGGGAGAAGAGTAAAACATGTCACTCAATATTAGCAATTATTTTACTGAATGACCCAAGATCTCATGTCATGAATAATTTATTTGTGGTTTTTGTCAGGGGTTTGTTGGATCAGGGTTTCGTTGTTATTTGAAGCCCTTCACTCTGATTTTAGGACTCTACTTACTTTTCTTCTGGTATTGACCATGACATGACACCTCGTTGCAAGCGTGCCACAAATAGCAAAGGAAAACCTTGAGTTGCTGCATCACTTGAGATGCTAACCCGTACGGCATAAGGCTTAATCAAGAAAAGAAAGTACATACAATAAGAATATTAGAATTAAAGAAATTCCATTGCAATAGTGACATAAAATCCACCCCCATTCCCAAACCAGCTTCAGCCAGTACGGGCTCATATTTTCAGGATCAAGAGCAGAGGCATTCTACCTCTTGCAGGGAAATTATGTTTTAAAATGTGAAAATTACCAGTGCTATGTCACAGTACCAATATCGCAGGCTCATCAAGTACCTGCCAACTTTTTCTGAGAGAAACGTGGTGGAATTTTTGTCATGACAGAGGTTGCTGAAAACATCCAAGATGTCCGGCAATTTTCCTAAGACTTCTCAACGTTGGCAAAAATGTCCCAATAACCTTTTCAAGAGCATTTCAGAAGCTATTTTAGAGGCGACAATTTTAGCATGTTGTGCAGATACATTTAGGACACAAAGTCAACATTAAGCACCTTTTTGGAATATTTTTGGGGAAATTGAATTGAACTGCCATTGTTAATCATGTCTGGATTTGTGTGTCAGACATGAGGAATTGTCCTTGATGCGTGAGATCGATGTCTTTAGTCCGCGTGAGAGTTGGCATATATGTAACCAAATATTTAGATTTCTCGTTTTTCAAGCTCCAGGATACAGATTTGGCGCAGAAATTTCTCTGAAAATTCAGATGCTTCAAATATTCCAAGAGAGCCCCCACTTGTGAATAACATACCAATCAATGATATCCCCAGGGGTGAGAACCAAATGGGGGAATTCCCACAAATGTTGACGTGAAATGTGATCAATGTAACTGTGAACCACTGGGCAGAGCTAAAATACAGGTTATTTTTTCACAGGTCAGAGTACAGGTCACCATGATAAAGACAATCAAACAGCATTAAAAGTTTCTCCTAGCCCTAATCTCTTAACAAAATGCTCTATTAGTTCGAGGGGAATCTGTGTGGTTTGGTAATTTATCGATGGAGCCATGACCTGTGCTCTTCACCTGTGGAATGTGGCCTCTACTTTAGCCCGGCAGAAACCGATTGTCCGTACAAGTCATAGAGTATGCGGGCCTTGAAAGATTTCATATTATAGAAACCTCTCATTTTTATCCTGGCCGACCAACAAGCAATGGAAGTAAGATTTACTTACCCTGGTTTTGTTGGGCCAGTAATATCTATACAGCCAGACTTGCTCCATGTCCAAAGACACCGTCCCATTTGTTGTGCTTCCCAATGAACCATTTTGGTATTTAAGGCCATTTGACCTTGTTGATGCACCGTTCTCATATACCAAAACTGTACCATAAGCTGTCATAAACAACGCAAAAATGCAAAAAATGCAAAAGATGACCGAATGCATCTTTCTTTTCCCAACGTTCTAAGAAAGTGAGGCGGACATCTTGTTTTCCGAGTACCCTTCGTCACTTCCGGTCACTTTGTAAGGAGTTATGGGTAATCTCATTCCCAGGGTCCTCTCGGGTCCTCTCTAGATAGCAACTCGTTCCAGCTTTCGCGCATTACCTTTTGCTTAAATATTTCATTTATTTATTTGTAGTTACTGTATATGAAAAATTACCTGTGCATGTTTACAGATACTGTAAAAAAAAAAAAAAAAAAAAAAAAAAAAAATACACCACAAGAAAAATCCAATTAAACTTATGAATGTTAATCCCAAACGAAACGCACAAAATAAGGACGATTAGTAGGGATTACCCTTATACCTTAGCCTGCTGTCTAATTGACGGCCCTATAAAATTTTCGAGGTACGTAGTAATCAATACAAATGAGACACTCGCTACCCTGCACATTCGTTTTTTTTTATGAAGTTTAATTTCATGCACAATTTTCTTGCAAAGTTGTCAGTCCGAGAAAGTAATAGTTGTCTTTCCTCAAGGACCAAACACCCCTGTTCAGAAATTACTCCCAGGAGAAACAAGTAGAGTCTGTAAAAATGGGTGAAAGGTTATCAAACAAAGGAAATTTTTCATTGTCTGTGCTTGAGTCTCTGACATAATTGAATAAGCGTATAGGGACGTCTCTTGACCTTCCCTCCTTTTAAAGGTCGTTTCGCCTACGAGTCGCATCGCAAACGTCCTGTTCGCCAACGTATTTTAAGTCTGTTTCGCCAACGTGCTAGGTCAGCTCCGGCCAACTTCTTTAACATAAACAATGGTTTAAAGAACGAGTTATACCCATATGTTTTGGACTTTGACGTGTCATACCTAAAAGAATGTGGTATATACCACGGGGGGTACTCCCCTAAAAAAGTGACGGGAGTGCTCGTCGGAAAATTTCGAGGACACCCCTAAAAGGTACCAGAATCTTGTTATATAAGCGTGCCTCAAATTCATTTCCACCCCTAAGAGGTACCAATTCAACAACAACAAATAACATAATTGGCACTGCAAATTTTAATAGGTAATAAAGATTACTTTCCAACACTTTCCTCTCAAGGCCTTTTTAAAAGTATTGTCATAAACCTTTATCCTCATGAAGCGCATCGAACTCTAGCAGCAGTCATTTTAGGCTTTAGTACCCTAAGCGGTACCAATCCACAAATTTAAACCCCTAAAAGGTACGACGAGCACCCCCATCACTTTTATAGGGGAGTACCCTCCCTCCGGGGGGTATATACATGAGTAGCACTCCTTTTGTTTCGTGGGTGAAACGTCTTAAGACGTTGGCGAAATGACCTGTCACCATTCTGCCACCCATCTAATTTCCTCATAGCCTCCAGCCTAGTATAACCTGATACAGCAGTGACTCATGGCTCCTCCCAGCCCCCAAGTCAAGGTGGTCATCGAATAAACAAACATCGATTGGCGACTCCGGGGGTGGCGACTCTAATGAACGGTAAACCAGTGGTATTGGCGCCGCGAAAAGTCGGCTGTTTTCTCAGGCTAGTAAACGCTAAGTAGACATGCAAATATCAAGAAAAAAGACAAATAATCAAGGTAGCAAAAAAGGGAAGAAGCCTTAAAAGAATCACGAGAAAATGACAATTTACGTTAACGTCCTTGTTTTCAAACCCTCGTGTCTTTCTTTTCTTCCTTTCTTGAAAAAAAAAAAAAATGGAGCGTCTTATAGAGCCTTGGCCAATATCCAATGACATCTGAAACAATTTTTGCCTGTTCTCTCTTTCTCTTAACTGAATCTTCTTTTCGTTAAAAACGTTCTCAAAGCGGAAGAGGGCGCGGTAAATTGTTGGGTCGGTGTAATTGGCTTATGTGTAAACAAAGGAGTTCTCATACCGCAAATCCTTATTACAAAATAACCACAAGTCGGGAACGAAACGTAGGCATATTAGTCAGGTAGGCTGCAGTCTCAAGCTTATGGATTATTGCATTCAGTCGTATATTTCTCTTTTGAAAAATAGAATACTTTAAGCTTCGTAGACTTCTTACATTTGAGTCGCATCGACGTCTTGTCGGGCCCAAAAAGCTCAGAAAAATTTGCGGTATTCGAAAAACTATTTCTGAAGAAACTAAGCCAAGATTTTTGGCGATGGCAGGAATCGAAAACTCATCTATCAAGTTGTAGAATTTTTACACCACACCCTGACAAGTCACCTACCTGTGTAAATTGTACATTGTACATTGTGATTTGAAAATACGCGGTTCGAGGTTCTTACAACAGGAAAATTAGATAAGTTTGTAATTTGTCAAAAGAAGAGTGTTTTATGGTCGAGATTAAAGCAAACAGATACTTCACTGGGTCAATAGGAAAGCCTTTTAAAATCGTATTTATAATTTGATCAAATTTCTCACAAATGTATGGTCATTTGGAAAATTCCATTTCCGCCGGAAGTCGTTCGGTTGCCAATTTCTAGCTGTGCTGCTGTTACTGAAGCTTTCGAAATTTTATTTTGCGGTATCTTAAAGGCTTCTCAGAGAAGTCAGGTTTAAACCTTTGTGGATACAAACAGTTCGATCTGAAGATCCGATATCTATTGTCTTTGAGACCGGCGAAATTTCGAAAATAGTAGACAAAAATTATAATGGTGCTTTGTGAACATGCCGCCAATGATTGACATGTGTCACAAGGTCGCCGAAAAGGAGAGTGTTGAATTTCAAGCAAAGGTTTGCGTCGGCAGTGTGTGTGAAGTCTTCATATGTTTTTCACGAGTTTGCCGCGTTTGAAACATTTTTTGTCGTCTGTAGTTGAAATGTAGAGGACAACCTATCATAGAAAAGCCATCGAAGTAACAAGCATCGCTCCCTAAACGGTAATTTCTGTGTATACAGTATATTCTAATCTCTATGAACATTTCAGTCATCTTTTCAAGTGTGTCTAGTTTTGTGCTGTATTTGCCAAGTTCCTCGTATTTGTTGTGTAATTTGTCTTAATGCAATCCGTGGTAAAAGGTCGCGCTAGTTTCTTGATACTTTCGGTCATATGTACGTGAGCATGAAAGTTTTTGTTTCTCCAATATAACCGTGAAATAATTTTTAGTTTGTCCTTATAAACTTCACGTGAGAGTGGCGCTTTACCAAGTTTTCCTTCAATTTGACTTTGTGGTATGCTTCTGTGAAAACTTTTCAAACGTGCAAGGTCGATAAGTACAGGATTATGCATGTATTTTTGGGTACAGAAGCACTTAGTACGCTTTGACTATAAGAAGATTTTGTTCGGCTAGTGGTCAAAACTGTTGTTCATATTTAGTACAATATTGTCTGGTAACGTATTTAACAGAAAAACTTTACATTAAGCGTAAATCAGAGCACCAGAACAAGCTCAGCTACTTGTGTACCAAAGAAAACTTCATTCTCTAGTACTTTCAGGGCAAGTGAAGCTTCTGGAAGCTTTCGTGGGAAAAAAATCTCCAAATGGCAAAGTAAGCTTATCTGAAAATTATGTTAACAGTTCTTTATATGAAATAATGGCATGACTATCGGTGAGAAAATAATTATGCCACTTTGATTAAAATTGAACTTTGCATTGCTCGAAATGAACCAACACTAACTCATTGTCTCCTGTATCTCAACATTTTACAACTTTTCAAAACAGAAATTTATACCACAACATCTTGAATATGTTGCTTTGGTTATCAATCATTACAGTCACTCAGAGATTACAAATCTTCGCTCGTTCTATATCATTTTCTTCACAGTTTTGCTACTGTTAACTTGAATTCTACTCTCCCCTTCAAGGATAATTTATTTACAAGTGTTGTTTACTGATGTTTTTCTTCTTATTTACTTCAGCTCCTATTTTTACCTATATTGTTTTTTTTAACTTATGACCCTCCTTTGTCTTCGTTGCGTCGAACAACATGTGTTACTTGGAGTTATGATTCCTGTGGCAGAATATTGGATAACTTATTATTCTTTGCGCCCAATTAGTGGCTTCACAGAGCAAGGTTGCTTTTAGATAAATAATGAAACGCCAAGAAAAGCACATTTTTGTTTTGATTTGGGTTTTTGGGTCATTCGATCCTGGCAGCTTTCAGCGATAAAATCAGCACGCTTGCTGATTTCAAACACACGGTGATATTTTGCAAAGCAGTAGTATTTCAGTCAAGGAAAGAAAAGAAACTTTGATTTTACGCTTCAAATAGTAGCTAATTAGAATTTAAGTTTACAAAGCCATGCTGGGTTTCTGTCGTTTTACTTGAGTGTCTTGTAATAACGAATTAAAAAAATGAAATGATCACGTAGCGACGTTAAAACACTAGTAATCAATGGCCAAGTCCGATACATTCAGATAAACTTAAAATTACACATCCCTTAAAAGTATCACTACAAACGAAGCTATCATTCCCCCACTTTTCGTCTTGTTCATACCAAATGCCACTGGGCTATTTGTAGTGTTTACAAAGCTGTTAAAATTATGTCTGTCTCTGTAGGGGACCACCAATGTCAGTGAAATTCATAAGGATAGACAAGGGAATCTTCTTTGTTTCATTTGAATTACAACACACGAGATTTTATTCACTGACTTCAAAAGACAGCACCACCGGAATGTACAACATAATAGAAAACACAGAAAGGCACTGTTGTCTTTCCTTTGGTCTTGTGGCACTGGCCTTTCTCTGAGAGGCAAAAAATCCATTTCCTGTTACCTACTTAAAAGCGCCAGTTTTCAAATAAAATAGAAAATCTCTATTGTGGTCCCACTATCATCCTGAAAGTACAATGATGAAGTGATAACTGATTATGAAAACAGCTTATCTTTGAAGTTGCAAAAATCATGAAAAATCTTGATAAGTGGAAAAAGCTGCCCTTAGGCAACTATAAAGACATTATCTTCTCTGTCAAAATTATGGCCCCTCACTACTCATTTGGAAAAATCCTACATCTGGATGGTGTTTACCTTATTTTCCATTAATTTCTATGAAGTTTAGCATTTTTTATTCTCGTAAAGGGATCTATCTTTTTTCCACTATAATGTAAGTGCAACGTTTTTATAGGGCGGATTCATTTGGAACAGGAAAGGGTACATGTACATGTATAGACATCATTTTTACTCACTGGAATTTTCATTGTTTTCAAGGTTAAAAACAGTAAAAACTTCCTAAGGAAAATGTGACAGCTATATGTGTAAGCTGCAAATAAATCTTCTAATTTGAGCAGTTATTTTTATCTTTCACTCAATTTGGTTACAGTTCCCATTGTTTGAATGTTGATAAATTTCGTGACACAGTTCCTTTCAGTTCCAAGAAACCATGTGATGTGTTATGTCAGTGCTTGGTTTAACACAGCACAAAACATCTTTGTCAATTACCTTTACCACAGAGTAAAAGGCCACTATTTAGCCTTTTAAAATGTGGACCCTCACATGTTCTGAAAAGAATGCAAATGAGTCCTTATCAGTTTTAAAAATGGGCCATGGTTGATAACAACGTAATACTAGAATCCATTCTGTTTTTCCTTTCTTTTTGATATTTAGTAGTCTAGTCCCAGTAACTTTTGTGTTTTACAAAGTTAAACAACTCCCTCAAGGATGTGGTAGGTTGTAGCGTAATAATTGTCATGCGTTAGGCAAATGACTGAATGATTCCTTTCCATAGGATGAAAACGAAATAAAACTGGAATCAAATTTGTCATATTTGACTTTGTACATGGCATGTCCTTTCAATGATCATCCTGTGACAACATGTGTGATACAGTCAGTTAACTTGTCATATCTGTCTTCTAATGGCAAGAATTATGGGCAGGTTCATCCCTTGGTTGACACAGGTCAGGAAGTGGTCAAGAAAAAAAAAATTCATTAAGGACAGGGAAATGTCAGGGAATTTTGTGTTCAGTATTGGAAAATTGAAATATTGAAGAAAAGTCAGGAAGTTGAAATATTATTATAATATACCATTGATTTAATAGTACTCTTGAACACTGGAAGAAGTAGTTCCAGTCACTATGATCTTGAGGATCTTTGATTTTGTTAACGAAAAAGGGGAATTGTCGCTCTCAAGAGAGGTAAAACCTGCATATTCTTAAAAGAACGTGACAGAAAAATGAAACAGTAAGCTTTTAGGACGGATGCTACCTGCTACTAGATCTTTCATTTTTGTATTTATTTGGTCAGGGAAATTATATTCTAATTTTGTTGGAAAGAAATCAGGGAATTTCAAAACCTGATTTTTGTGGCAATCATACATTGTAAATTGTAGATACATTGTTGTCAGCACAAAATAACACGTATTTAATATATTATTTTCACAATATTCATACTGTGAATTCCAGTGTACTCTCTAGAGTTTCATTTTTTCGCTGATTCAGCGAAAGAATTTTTATAGTTTTTTTTTGTTCATTGCATTTCTGTAACCAATGTGTTGAAAGTAGATGCAAGTAAATGATATAAATAACATTTGACTATGAATAGTATCATGACGTACACAGTGATATCAAAATATATACACTTGGGCAAAGTGCCTATTTATTTTCAGCAAGCCTATTGCATGATCGATATTAAGAACATTGTGTTTGATGGTGTGCTTTAAAAACCACTAAGGCAAGAATGATGATTACTTAACAAGAATGATTCTGTCAAGAATAAATTGCCAACTGACATCATTATTGTTGTTCTTTCTCACAGTTTTATCAGAGAATGCAGCTATATTTATCAACCGTGTTCTGTTGCTAGAAGAGATCTCATAATAAAAATATTGTAGGAATGTGGCATAGGAAAACTGCACGTTTTTCTCTTCTCACATTTATGTTATGCTGTTCATGGATAAGTTACGCTGCCAGCCAAGGTAAGCATTCCAAAACTTGTAGACTACTGTCTTTAGTTAATTACTTGTTAAAAATATTTACTATCTTAAGAGTAGGTTTGATTTCTGCTACCTTCTTAGGTCCAGTTTTTGTTTCATTTATTCATTCATTCATTCGTTCATTCATTCATTTTGCCATTAACCACATTAGAATACATAAGAATATGCAAGAAATTTATATATTTACGATGATAGACACTATTCTAAATAAATTATTTTACAAATGTTCAGAGCAGTAATGACAAGGAAGCCTTTATAAAAGCCAGGGAATTATACACTATAGCTCTATAGTATGAAGCTCAGCAAAGAGTATATCTGACTACGAATTTTTGTCTTTTGTCAAACAAACTGATACTTTCACTATTTTGAATTTCAGTGAGCTTAGACCTTGAAACCAAAAGGTGGGAGGGGGAAGGGGGGTAGGGGCTCCCTTTACTCATATATCACTGGAAATTTAGGTTAGGTTAAGAGTCCCTGGGATTGTAAATAAGATAGCCAGTCAGACTCAGGGATGTTGCTAAGGTAAATATAAAGCCAACAGGCTTTTTTATTGTTGAGCTTCTTCTTCTTGAAAACTAACCTGAGTCGTCGTTTTCAAGAGCAATCTGAAGCGGGGACAAGCTCTTTTTCAGCCAGTGAAATCAACCAGCTCTTAGGGACATCCTCGATCAGTCATCTTATAAATTATAGCACTCATTGATCAATAAAGGGGGTAAAGTAAGTGTGCTGTTGGCCTCAGGTTAGTTAGGTGATGACTATTAAAAGCTACTGACATAAAACAAGGGGCCTTTACCTTAACCTTTTTACCTTTGCAGCCTATTGGTAGATGCTTATACCAAATTTTGGTACAAGCAGCTACTTTCCATACACCTGTAATACAATCAACTCCCTTTATTGCAGACACCATAGGGACCTCGAGTTAGTTGTCCTCTTTAGCAAGAGTCCGTAATAGCAGGAGTGTTTTTCAGTCAAATGTCTGTAGTTTATTTTTGCCGGGGATTTAGCTGCTGTCTGTATTATCGAGGTGTCCGTTATGACGGGGTGTCCACAAGGCGAGAGTTGACTGTATTTAACAAATGTGCCAAGCAGGTTGTGATATTTTTATTGATTGAATAAGTAATGCAGATCCAATATACCATAGCCCAGGGTGCAAAAAAAGCACTTACCAGCAGAAAAGTTATTTCAAAATGCCTGGAAAAAATTTTGATGAGCAAGCAAGATTGATTACAGTTCTATTGTAGTTTGAATTCCCCAAAAATCTCTGCTCTCCTATCAGGCAAGTTAGGAACAGAATTCATTAGCCCCTAAAGCAAAATCCATTAGCCCTGGGCTATTGGATCCTACTTTCTTTGCATGCTGTAGCCATGTATATAATTCTCATCTTTTTATCACAGGACGCCCACCAGTTATTATTAAACAGCCCTCTGATGTTGTAGCTGCGAAAAACTCACCAGCTGACCTGGAATGTGGTGTCTTAGAACCTTCCAAAGCCACGATCCATTGGCTTCATAATAGCGTAAAAGTTGAAGATGACGCAAAGAGAGTAACCATGGATGATGGAAGCTTACACTTTGTTCGAGTGACAAGAAATCGTAAACGGACTCATGCAGGCATTTACCAGTGTGTGGCATCCAATTCTTATGGCACTACCAGAAGCAGAAATGCATCTTTGATAGTCGGAAGTGAGTTTACATTTTACATTTTCCAGTTAGAGAGTAAAGAGTACAATGTAGAAATAATAATGGTTGTCTTCATTTGGGTTCAAAAAGCTCAGAAACTTCTTGTTGTGGTCGGTTGAACATGGGGATTGAAACAAGAAAAGTGTTCATTGTTTCAGATTTTTGACTGGCTGCAAAGTTTGGCCAGCCACATTGTTCACATGGAACTGTTCAATATTTTCACTTTGTTTTTGGGAACTTTGAATGGCCAGACATATAAATTTTGGTGCAATTAAGGTGGTTTCATTTGAAAGTAGCACCCAAATGCACAAATTTTCAACTGGTCGAAAACTCATCTGGTGCCTTGTGAATGTAGCCTGATTTTAACAGCATGTATTCTATCAACCAGCTTTCAAGTCCTCCTTCCGATCTGAACCTAAAAACCAAAGCGTCTTTACTGGCGACACGGTGGTCCTAAGCTGTTCTCTTCCAAAAGGGCGCCCCCCGCCTACAGTATCCTGGTTACATGATTGGCAGGTGATTTCAAATAGCAGTAGAACAGTCATTTCACCAAAAGGAAACCTGACAATCTCTTCAGTTACTAAAGCTGACCAAGGATCTTACGTGTGCAGAGCAGTTCATCAACTTGGGACACGAAACAGCCAGCAAGCCATTCTTACTGTTAAAGGTACTCTTCCTTGAATGATATAACACTGTCTTAGATATGCAAAAAAAAGATCTTCTTCACCATCCTGTTTAGGTGGGATCATGTTTTGAATACTTGAATTCCCAAAGACCAAAGCATAGACTGAAAAGTTGAAAAGAAAGGTTTAAATTTTGTTAGCTGATTCGTAGTTGTGGAAAGCACATTTATGTCACTCTAAAGTCTCTGAAGACGGAATCTGTCAGGAAATTGAGTAATTTTAATTTTCAGCGGACAAAAACCTTGTACCAGAATAATTTCAAGCATATCGCATGCTTTTTTACTTTTTTCCAGGGCTAAAGATTTAATTAGTCATCTGTAATAACACCAAAGAAAATTTCTTATGAAAGCCCAAGAAACTAAATGTCAATTTTCACAAAATGACATCTTATACATGAAACATTCATAATTTTACCTGTGTTTTCACAATTCTTGTGATTATTTTTCTCGGACTCCCATAAGAAATTTTCTTTGGTGTTACTACGGATGACTTACTACATCTTAAGCCCTTGAAAAAAATTAATGTAAAAAAAGGATGCAATATTCCTTAAATTATTCTGGTACAAGGCTTTTGTCCACTAAAAATTAAAATTACTCAATTTCCTGGTGGATTCTGTCTTAATCTCTCTCCTATTTTTTTTTTTTACTTTCAGAGTTTGTAAATCCCCTAACTGTCATACCATCTCAGCAAGTTGCCTACAAGGGGAGTACCACAACATTTCAGTGTAACTATGAAGGTGGCTCTCAAGAAGAAGTGACATGGGAAAAAAAGGATGGATTGCTACCCAGCGGGCGGCATGTTATTGATAAGGGCCAGCTAAACATAACAGATGTTGGTTTTAAAGATGAGGGAACTTATGTTTGTAAAGCAACTATTGGACCAAGGGTACTGACTGCTGAAGCAACCCTTGACGTTCAGTGTAAGTATCATTTGAGGCAGCATGGCCAAGTGTTCAGAGTGCTGACCTTAGGATCCTGAGGCGCCAATTTGAAACCCACTCTGACCACTTGCTAGCCTGAGAAAACAGCCGACATTTGGCAATGCTACCACTGGTTTCCCCGCCAAATGATGTGTGAGAAACGAGGGCAGAAATTCCATACTGATGACGTGTCACTACCCAGATCTGGGTAGTGACGCGTCATCAGTATGGAATTTCTGTGCACGTTTCTCACATGTTGTTTGGCGGGGAAACTGTTAGTGGCATTACCAAATGTCAGCAGTTTTCTCAGGGTAACCACTTGCTGGATTGTTCCTGGTAGTCCCAAGTTGAACTCCTCAACCACACTTTGAAACAGTAATAATGATTGTATTTAAGATCAGGCCCTGGATAAGGAATTAGAATTTCTCTGCATTCTCTATAAATCATTATCCCTGAAATATGCAGCTCCAGCTATTATTCCCACCTACCATGGTGACCTCAGTGAAGTATGACATGTGTAGACAATTTGCATATTATTTTTCTATCCCCCATAGGCACTAGGGAAAAGGTGAGCAGCAAGTGAAATGTCTGTATCTCTTATCTACCCTTAAACTCATCGCTAATGATGAGCTTGGGAGCAGGTGCCTTAAAGGTTGGTAGGGGGGCCAAATGCAATAAGCAGAGAGGAGGTATCCATGGCAACCCTGGAAGCAGGAACCACCCCAAGAGCAGCCACTAACCGGCACCGTCACACTGAATAAATTCAGTGGAGATACTTACCTAAGAGAATACTTACCTGAGAAAATACTTACCAAACCACCAGGCAGGGAGGGAGGAAAGGGAGCAAGAATTCGCAAGAAGGCAAACATTGATCCGCTACGATCAGCAAGAATCCGCAATGACTCACAAGAAGGCTACAAATTAATGATCTGCTACGATCAGCAAGCAAAGCTACAATGCAAAGCAACACTAACAAAAGGGCACACAAGGAGCCCTGCAATTCCCCGTGGGCCGCCCCGTAGGTCACATACTGAAGTGGGAGAAGACCGCTGGCCAACTCGCTCAAGTTTAAATTTGCCTAAATGATATTTAGCCATATTTAAACTCATCGCTAATGATGAGCTTGGGAGCAGGTGCCTTAAAGGTTAGTAGGGGGGCCAAATGCAATAAGCAGAGAGGAGGTATCCATGGCAACCCTGGAAGCGGAAACCACCCCAAGAAACCCGTTTCCAGGTGCTTGGAGAATGGAGGGACCCGTCAACAGGGTGACTTGGTACCTCCGATCACCCAAACAAATCCCCAAGCACCAAACAACTCCCACAGCTGCGCAAATTACGAAGGCACTAACCTACAATTTTGTAGCTGATCCGCAAGCTGAAATAGGCGAAAGGTCCTGAACCAGGACAGATGACTGCCAAGCAAGCTACCCTGGGAAGCAGTGAGGATTGTGCAGTGACGGGATTCTGCATGGAACTGTGGAACAAGCTGAAGCTAGTTTTTGTGAAAATGCAGCTAGCGAGTCAGCCAGTGTCCTAATACAAAGCTGATAAACGTTGTTGGGCCAATGGCCCATTGATTCAGAATCCCACAGCGAGCAGTGACAGTGGCAGCTCCAATAAGAAAGCTATGGGAGGAGGAATTGCCCAGTATCTGAGCTGAAGTTATGATCTGCCTAGGCCAATCTGTAAGAATAGTGCAGGTGAGAGGCTGCCATTCGGAAACAAAAACAAGGGGCCAGAAGAATCCCCCCTAGAAGCAAGGAATGTCGTCATAGCGTGCACTGCACAGAAAGGATGCCTGCCAAGACCAATGTGAATAAAAAGAGCCTTTCCCGGGACGGGTACTCTACAAGCAGATGCGAGCAACCCTGATCCATGTGGAGAGCTCTAAAGCCTGATAAATTAACCTTAATCAACAACTGCTGGAGAGTCCTGGCCAGAAACATAACAATTAGACAAAGCGTACATTCGTCCATTAAGCATGGAGACCTTGATGGGTGCAAGTTGCCAAGCTGTCAGCAGAAGGAAATGAATTTTCGCTTGGGCTGACGCATAGGAATGCCGAATCGAGGGAGCCAGGCCACGAGTACGAAAGAGTAGCACTGCTGTTCTAAATCAGGGAAGTCGACTCGGTAAGCAGGACGAGAGGACTCCGCATCGAAGTTGGACAAGGCTGAATATTTGGAGCCAGTTGCCTGGATTCCTGCCAAGAATCCCCAATGATTCACAAGAAGGCAAACATTGATCCGCTACGATCAGCAAGAATCCGCAATGATTCGCAAGAAGGCTACAAATGATCCACTACGATCAGCAAGCAAAGCTACAATGCAAAGCAACACTAGCAAAAGGGCACACAAGGAGCCCTGCAATTCCCTGCGGGCCGCCCCGTAGGTCACATACTGAAGTGGGAGAAGACCGCTGGCCAACTCGCTCGAGTTTAACTTTGCCTAAATGATATTTAGCCACATAAACATTGGATTGTGTAGTTCCAGAAAATATCCAGACCCCCACCACGGAGGGAATTGGAAATTCCAGGGGGGTGGGGGGGTCAGAGGCCCAGGAAATTCCAGAAGGGAGGGGGGTTGGACCATAAAATCACTTTCCAGGGGGTCAATATCATTTCGTTTTCGACCTGAGTTCGAACATTGCTTCTTACCGACCTGGTAGATCATTTTTAGGTCATAAATAACTTGAAATATATCACTTAAGATTGTTCCTTTTGATCTTAACCAGGTTTCCTTTCTTCCAAAAGCGTTTTGGATGTAATTTCAAAGGAATTAGACCGACTACAACTCGTTTTATCGCATGCTCGTGTATTCGGCCGCCATTACTCGTTACCAGTCTCCCTCAAAACATCAACGCGTGCAACACATCACGTTGCGTCAGTCGATCGATCAGTAGAATGGCAATTTTGCCTCACGAAGGACAAGCTATACATTGTAACCATTTTAAAATGTAGAGTTTTTATTCTCCTTTTCATTTTCCCTTAATTTTGTAGTTGAAGGTGCGGCATGTTCATGATCGAATCCTCGCTGAAATGGTGTCGATTTCACCAAACATTTATACGGCCATCGCCATCATGTCGCATCATTCAATCGAAAAACAGTAAATTGAACTTGGTTTCCCTTCAAGATGCAGGGGGTATTCATTGTTATTATTTCAGAGTTCAGAGTTTTTATTCTTCTCTTTGTTTTGCCTTAATTTTGTGGTCGTAAGTTTGACTTGTTCTGCATTCCCGCACGAAATGGCGTTAAATTTAAAGGTTCATTCACGAATCTACCAACATTTACGCCCATGAAGACGAATAATGAATTGTAAGCTTGCCCTGATTAAGGTAAATTCACAAATATAACGGACTTATTAACTTTCTCTGTTTCATTTAAAATAAGAGATGAGCAAAAATTGCGGATCAGGTTACTTTGTGGTGGTGTAGTGTGTTTTAATGTTGCGAGATCACTCAAATAAATGGAAACAGACGCATACAAGCTTCTGATTGAAACCGTTGCGTACTAACCATAAATGCCCTCATTCTTCTACTTTAATAGTCTTTCTTCGTGAAAATGAACTTTTCCAGAGGGGTTGGGGGGTCTTTGTCACACTTGTGGAAATTCCGAGGGGGTGGGGGGTCATCAGTTCCCTGCCAAAATGGAAAATCCAGGGAGGTGGGGGGGTCCTAAGTGAAATTCCCTCCGTGGTGGGGGTCTGGATATTTTCTGGAACTACACATTAAAGATTTATTATTCTGCTTCATGAAATCACTTCAAACTTTCTTTTTCCGGTCCCTCCATTGTTTGCCTAGTCCTCCTTTGGCAGAGAAAAGCTGTCTAATGGGTTTGTTACAGTGCAATTCAGGATTTTAGTATATTACTACAGCGCTCGACATTACGACCTGTGGGGTCGCCAATGCGACCAGGTTTCACTCAGTGACGACCAAATTTTCACGCCTGGTCGCCAACCTCGCCCCCAGGATAGGTGACTTTCTCCTTTGGGAAAACTTACACTAATGATAATCCATTGTCCTTCACAAAACTAATGGATGGGTAATGGTTTTTCTAACGCTCTAACGTTTTGCCCAAACACTATAATGGTTTGTCAAAACCCTCTAACGATTTGTCTAAACGCTTTAACAATTTCAACACTCTAACGGATTATGCTTATGATTTCCTTAACCTTAAGCTTGAATACCTGTTTGAGGAGATTTACGCTTGAGTGCGGGCTCATTTCCCCAAACACTGGCTGGTAATCGAGCCTTGAGCGAAAACCGTTCGAAAGAAAGTTCAATAGGAAGTCTTAAGTACTCTTTTTCTGTTAAGGCTAAGTGAAAGATGTTAAGTTTATTGTATTCCATGACTTCTGAAATATAATTTTTGCGACCAGAATACTTGTTCTGGCAACCAAGAATGAAAACTTGGGGTCAGCTGGCCCCAAATTTTTTTTCTGAAAGTCAAGCACTGTACTATGTAGTACATCTACCTTGGTGTGTTTTGTGTGACCTCCTCATTTCTTGTATGGTAAAAGGGACAGGTAAGGGGTGGAATACGAAGATTCTGATAAGTGAATTCATTTACCGTCACTTCTTTCTTTCAGCCAAAGCTAAGATAACAGAAGGTCCAAAAGATGTGATTGTCTTTGAAGGCAACTCTACCAAGTTTAGTTGTGTCGCTCAAGGTGACCCCCAGCCAACAGTCTTCTGGCAAATGAAAAGACCAGATTCAAGGCCAATGTTTCCAAATGAAAACTATCAAGGTCGCTTCTTTGTATCAAAATCTGGTGAACTTGAAATTATTGACATAAGGAAAGATGATGAGGGCATCTACGTTTGTTTCGCTGTAAGTCTGAATGGTATCACCGAAGCGAAAGCACAACTTACTGTCATTGGTAGGTTTGACATGTTATTGCTTTGTGCCTCTTTGTTAAAACTAGTTGCGACCATTCAAGGCTGTGCTCTAAGAAAAATTGAATGGGAGCCCAGTGCTCTGAACCTGTGACACAATCCAGGTCAGCATATGATTTCTGTGGGAAAAAAAAACAGTGTGGTATGTTCATTTGTAGCATACACATATAGCCATTGCACTTGCCAGTGGAGATTTTTTGAATTACATTTAAGCTCAAAAACCCTAAAAAATTTCAGAGGTCAAATGTGACAGTTATAGACGTACACGCAAACGAATCCACTGAAAATTTCTTAGGTGCCCAAGAGTACAATATGTTAGGTGCTGGGGCCACCGGGTACTGCTAGAGCACAACCTTGTAGTTTGTTGCACCTGCCGTTGTGCAGGTCAACTCTTAGTATTGAGAACAGTAAGTAATTGACGTGGATGAAAAGGAAAGCACTACATTGAGTATTATTTGTTTTAACCTTGCATGCTAAACAGGGTCCATGGCTCTCTCCTGGTTAATCAGCCAATTTAGAGCAGTTTTTTGTGTGTTTGTTTGTTTTCTACCTTTTACCTAGTGGCTTGCTTACTTCAAACATGATAGTACTAGCAGGTTATTCATAAAATTATGTGCAAGTATCTATGTTTACAGTATGTTATCTTAAAGCCATCATTTTGAATCCGTGTGTGCTCCATATTATGTCTCTACAACCACGTGCACATCATCGATACATGTTACAAAAGCAGAAGATGAAAGTCAAACTTTCATTGTCACTGTTTCATCCAAAACCTATCTTGCACCAGGAACAAGAGCATGCATATTGCTTACCGTTTAAACATCGTTTTTGGGTAGTTCTGCCTCCTTTTGGCCAAATAGTTAGAGAAAAAAGCTTGAGGAGGGTTTAAGTCTCAGCATTTTTTGGGGGGGGAGAGGGGGAGGAATTTCTAGTGGCAGGTGGGTCAAGCCATGTGTTATTTCTCCTTAGGATCAACAGATGTTCCCCCATCAGTTGTTTCTGGTCCATCGAACCAGTCAGTCTTTGAGGGAACCAATGTGCAATTCTCTTGCCAAGTGGACGGCATCCCAAAACCATCTGTTGCTTGGTTCAGACACAATGATGTTGCCCCTCTCCAGAATAGTTCAGCTACTGTGATGACACAGTCAGGACAAACATTTCATCTGAGTATCTTAAACATCAGCCTTATTGACCAAGGAAGATTCAAATGTGTTGCTAGCAGCAGGTTTGGAACACACTCAAAAGAAGCAGAACTTCTTGTTAAGAGTAAGCTTTTAAATTGTGACCCTGAAATGTTTGTAGAAAAGAAATACTTACGTACATTAGAAGCTATAGCCAGTGACAATGGCATGATTCAGCTCTCCTGTTATCAAATTTGCAAGAATTAAACAATATTATTGCTTTGACTACTTTGAAGGGTAGAGGGGGGCAAATCTTCCTCCAAGGCATATAGAAACCTGCGGTGCCCAGCTAGAAGGTTTGCCCTAAACTGTGTAAGCAGCAATGCGTTCATTAGCATGAGATGCATGGATGCCCATGATCAAAAGATGCAACAAGTGGAGAGCTGTACCGTATCAGACTGCTAAGGGAAAAACTCGCCAAAACAGTGAGGGTCAAAATGTCCCAGTTGTGGCTGTTGATTTCAAAGTATTCATGGTGAAGCATTCTGCTTTATAAGGAGCCAACCTCTCCACCTGATGAACACTAGCAATAAGCATTTAAAACTTCGGGATCTAACCAGCAATATACCAGGGCTCGAAAAAACTTGAATCCCGGCTTGTTCTTGTGGCAAGTATTTCGCCCATTTTGCTTGCTCAGGGCCACTTCTTGCTGTTCTAGTAAACAGGGTTCGCACAGCCTTGAAAAGTCCTTGAATTTTAGGGGAAGTCCTTGAAAAGTCCTTGAATTCCATTTTCCTTGAAAAGTCCTTAAATTTCTGTGCAAGTCCTTGAAAAGAGCTTGAATTTTCTTCAACTTTGAATGTAGTAGCCTGGAAAGAATTTTTTGATGCTTTTTGGTTGTCCAAGACAGAATATAAATCGTAGCTCAGTGAATGTAAAGGTCATTTACATAAAGTGCTCCATGTTTTATGCAATAATTAACTATCAGTTTAAGACAAGTGAACTGAAAAATGTAGAGAATTTGGTGAAGCAAACAGTTAAAGCCTTAAAGTCTTATTAGAATATACTGGGAATATGCATTTTTGTACAATCTGTGAAATTATATTCCTAGTAGGTTGTCCTTGAAAATCTAATGTGGTCCTTGAAAAGTCCTTGAAAAGTCCTTGAAAAATGGTTGCAATTTTTTGTATGAACCCTGGTAAATGATTTTGTTAGAGGATGACTTGCTTGGACCCTTCCTTGTCCATTGGGCATTAGTGAGCTTAAAAGTTACTTGCCCAGCAAGAAAATCTAGTTGTCCCAGACTACTGGATGGGAATTTTTTCAAGTCTTGCAAACAGCATATTATTCATGTACTTCCCCACAACAAATAATTTTAACCCTTTTCTTACAGATTCAACAATAAATTTACTCATGATTTTTTTTTACAGAGGTCATTATTACTACCACACCTCCTCCTACTACAACACCCACTACTGAACCGACACTTGCTCCTCTGGATCTGGTGGCAACTGCTGCTACACACAACACAGTGTCCCTTGTGTGGAGTTCTGTCCCACTCACTGATGCATCAACTGTCATGTACATTGTGGAATATCAAAAGAGGGGCAGCAATGAGCAGTGGATGGTGGCTGTGGATTCACTCAAGGCTAATAAGTACACAGTACGCCGCTTGGAACCGGGCACAAGTTATGTTTTCAATGTTAAAGCAGTTGATCAAAATGGAGTTATTTTGACCCAAAGCTCCCAAAAAGTGGTCAAGAAGACACACAAGAAGACTGTGGTTGCAATTGGTAAGTTATAATAGCTCTTGCTTTTACTTTTGAGTCTGAGAAGAATAGGCTGGTTAACCTTGGCAGGATTAGCTCTGTTAGTAGAGTGCTTGTCAGCGGAGCAGGAGGTCATGATTCAGTTACCAGGGTTGGGCCAATACTCAGGGGCTTCAAATAACTGAGAAGTGAGGATACTCCCTTTGCAGTACAAGCAACTAGATCTTCACATGACTCGGATGACCGTGTAAAATGGCGGTCCCATCTCCAGTTGGAGAAATAAAAATAGTGTCCCCAATTAGTACTCCTGTAATAAATACATTGACACTGAAATAAAGTGCTCTTTTAAAAGTAAAAAACTGTCTCGAACTTCATATGGCAATTCAAAATACTCTTAAAATCATCTTTGACATCCAGCTTGTACTTCTGTGTTTACTAAAGAAACCTTGGTTGTGTTGTTTTAGTAAATATTTGGAGCATTCATAACTGAGAAAATATCTGTTTTGTTTTTAGATCCCACACCATCATTTTATCCTGATGATAATGTGAAGATTGATGTTTATCCAGTTCCCACTGGATCAGACCGGATTAATATTTCGTGGACTGTAAGTACTAAAATTGAGCAAAAATACACTTGTGGTGTGAATTTTCTTCAATTCCACACATTTCTTTTCTTAATAGATTGTTAAACTTTGTAACAGTGAAAAGTAAAACAATTTTGTATTCAGATTTCTCTGATGGGTCAAAGTAAGGTTGTTATCCTTCTTTATGTCACTTCAGTGCCCAAAATAAAACTCTCGATTGATCCTCAACATAATTTGATTTTCTAGAATACTTCTAACACAAGTATTCTGTAGATTGTAAGTCTGGTGTGCTGGTCACTCAGTGATGCTGCGCCCCAGTTTAAGGCTACTTTCGCACGGTACTGGCCGAACAAAAATTTGAACATTAAAATCGAGGTCAAATTTTTGACCAGTATGGTGGAAAATTTGAATGGCAAGAGGTTAACATGGTGACCATCAAAATTTTTGTACGGCAGATGCGTGGTTGCATGGACACTTGGTTACTCAGTTGGATTCAGGGAAAAGAGAGGAAAATTGCAAACATATATTGCCAACATAGGTTTACAAGTAATGCTATTACTCATTTTGCTTGGAAATATTGCGGTTCGACAGTTCCATGTGAACAGTGCTAAAATTTGGAACAGTTTCATGTGACAAAGTGTCTGGTCCAATTTTTCCACTGGTCGAAAATTTGACTGGTACTGTGTAAACGTAGCCTTAGAAGAAAGAGAAAAGAATTTTAACATTGAATGTTTTTCTGTGGCAGCTCTCCAGACCAGTCATCAAAGCAAGTGTGGTTGTTTTCTGGAAAAAGAGAGACTCTCATAAACTGAACTACAATGAAGCCTTTTTATCTTCAACCTCTTGGTATCTGCTAAGAGAACTTGAAGCCAATACTACTTATAAAATCCAAGTCCAAGTGACAAGTGACATTGATTCTATACCCATCAGTGATCCAGCGTTTGCTACAACGCATGCAGAACGTGAGTAACAGATAGAGTTCAACCTCAGGTTGCTTTAACCCTTTAAGTCCCAATAGTGACCAGCATCAATTTTCTCCTTACAATATCCAAAGATTGTGCAGTGCAACATCTATGAGAATTAATCAAATGATCACAAAGAGAAAAATCTCTGATCTTTTATCAATTTCTCCCAACTAATTCTGTAAGGAAATGTATACAGATCAGTTTGGAGAATTTGTTTGTGGATATTGCAAATTCTTCAGTCTGATCACATGCATTTCCTTAAAGAATTATTTGAGATAATTTGATAAAATATCAAAGCATTTTTCCTTGAATGGTCATTTTATTAATTCTCATATTCTTCCTTCTTGATTGTATGTTGGTATTATTAGGGGTAAGTTGATGCCGGTCACAGGGTTTAAGTCACTGAACTTTGACCCATATGGTTTAGCCAAATTTCATTCAAAATTTTCTTGCCGTTGAATTCAATAATTTATTATTGTTACCTGTAGAAAATTTTTGAGCTTGATTAGAGATCTTTTAAAGAAACAAAAGCTGATTTATTTTGGCCATTTGAAAAGAAGCAAGGGCTTGGGAAAGATCTTCTTGGCGGGAAAGGTGGATGGGAAAAGAGAAAGAGGATGACCGAGAAGGCAGTGAGAAAGGGACGCATGTCTCTGTGGCTTGCCAAAAACCCAAATGAATTGGCAGGGTTTTTTTTATTATTTTAGTTCTTCTTTGTTCAAGTGATTGGCAACCCTGATTGTGCTATCTGGTTGAAAGTGATTTTAGGCAGGGGTAGGGGGTGAAGGGCTCAGTAAGGAGAAGTGAAGCTCGATAAAAATTGAAAGCTTTCATTAAGTTTATAAGAGATTTTTAAATATTAACCTTTCTGAATAAATCTGTTGCCACACAGCTGGTATTATTCTGGGTGGGGGTGGAACAGGCCTCAGTCCAACAAAAGATACGGTCCCTTCCAGTGGAGAGGTCAGTGTAGTGGAGGCTCAAGTAGAGACAGGAAGCACATGGTACAAGATGAAACGGTTCATGCGCCAGCCATGGTTCATCGCTACCATGGGTGCAGTAGCTTGGATCATACTGCTGATCATTGTGGTGCTGTTGTACAGACAAAGACGCAGCAAAAAGAAAGCAAAGTCTCCCGCAAAAGGTAATCAAACCTATATTATACCAGTAATTCATATTTTGTAACAGCATTTATTTATTTTACAATAGTTGTATTTACTTATTATATATAGCTTGTTCAATAAAGGTTGCTATGGGCATTGGCCATTGGGCAATAGGAAGCTATTGTTTGGTGGTCATTAGGCAAGTCTTTGCATTGTTTGGTAGTCCCAAATACCCAATTGCCAATTATTTTTTGTGTAGTTGGTAATTTTTTATTTTTAGTAGTAAGATTTTTACAAAGTTTATCAAAATGTTTGTCGAAAGGCCACGAAAAAAGCAGACGTTTCGAGGCTGCTCCCTCTTCCTACTTTTATTATTAATATTTTTTACTTTCACGTCTTCCCCACTATCTGAGAGCCTGGAACAGGCTACAGTGGTTTGAAAGTGATGTTATGCTAAAAATCATCATTGTGAATCGTCTCGTACAACATCACCTTAAAGCAACTGAAAAAGAGAACGCGCGATGTAACGTTTAAATAAAATCAAAACAAAGACGAACGTTACATGCGCACACTGACTTTGAGAAGTTGAAATAAAGTTGAAGTATGCATTCAGTCGGGCTGGTTGAAGTGTCCGGTGTCTGAATATCATTCTGGCCTCAAAACTGCGCCTTTGTGTTGGACTTCTGAAGCCAGAACAGATCACCGAAGTAGTAAGTTAGTGTGATAGTTCAAGCGAAGAGCCATCCGGTTCATTGTCATTATCATCTCCATCCTCATCTTCAACATCGTTGTCGTCATCATCATGGTCATTATCATCATCATCATCAGTAGTATTATTTAAAGAAGTTTTAGCCTTTTTTAGTCAAAACTTCTTCCCTCTGGGAATGAAAGATGAAAGTGTCATAAGGTGGTTCTAACTTTTGAGACTGTGGGCGAAAACCTATGGTGATACCATTCAAGTGAAACCTCTTCAGCAGTACTTTCACACGATACTATTTATTTACAGTGGACCTTCGATTTAACGAAGTGCCAAGGGACTGAGGAAGTTTGTTCGTTATATCGAGGGTTTGTTACATCGAAAGCCTGTCTGAAATTTGTAATTTTTGTTGAATTTGACTCTGGCGTCTTTGGAGAATTAAAGGGCTAACCATAGTGGAGGCAACTGAATGTGAGAAAGTGGGAAGAGTCAAAGATAAAAACAACGTTGTTATGTTGGGAGCTCCCTGACCGTGCATAATTTGTTGTTGTTGTTGTTGTTCTTTCCTTGTGATGGAATGAATTAAAGAGACGTTCCTGTTGGTCAGCAAAACACACAGATTCCCGCCAGTTCTAAAGAATTTTTGCCTTTTCTTTCCAGTCTTTGTACCAGCAGAAAACGTACCTCGAAGTCCTACGTAAGTACTGTTTTAGTTTTGTGTTATTCATAGCTGCCACTGTCTTTCCTGATTCAAAGTTTTTCTTTATCAGTCTATAAAGAAGCTACCAAGAGTTCAGTATCAATTTAGTTAATTTTAGCGCTAAACAGTTTGCCATAAAACTGTCTGAATTGTGTAGTAATAAACTGTTCTCGAAACTGTGGAAGAACACTGGTGCTAAAATTAACCGAAAAGGCAAAACTGCCATACTAATTCAAAGTAGACAGACTGCAAATTATAGTAGTTGCTGAAAAATATATCTACGTGTCCCAACTGTTCATCAGTAGGATACTTAAACAGACTGCGTTTAGATTATCTACAAAACCACCAGCCTGGCTTGTTTCAACGTTATTGCAATTTTTGTGAAAGTGTTATGTGACCGTGATTTGACATGAAAGACGTTGTCAATTGTTTATCTTTTTCTGTATCCTGGCTACAAGAGTTTTTTTGTCGCGTGCGGGTTGATGCTTAAGTGTCAGCCGCAGACCGACAGATCTTCGGCCTAAGGCCGAAGTCACGAGCGGCTTAACCGAAACCGGAAACTGCGCATGAAAAGTCTCTGTCACCCAGGGTACTTTTTGTGAAAATAAGCAAAACTATCAAATTGAAATACCGTATTTTCCCTAAACCCCCAGGTTGCTATTACGCATTCGCGACCCGCGTGTACCCAGCATACGTTTGCACCCGCGTTTTGGACCGTCCTCTTTCTATTATCCATGTTCTATCCAAGAAATTATGCACCGAGAAACTGCACAAAGCACAGCGTCGGAGCAAGGACGTGATCTTGCTCTCTATTCCTAACCTTTGGCTATTACCAGTTATCAATTCTTATTGTGTGTGGATATTTACAGAACACGCACGTCCAAATTTCTTTGGATGGAGGAGCGTAATTCAGACATTCCTCAGCAGTTGAGTAACAACCATTCCAGTAACAGCTCAGTTTCTGACTGCACGAGACCTGTGGCAAACTGCTGTGGCGGCGGCGGCGGGGGTGGCAGGAGTGTCTCCTGTTCAAACGGAAGTCTTGACTTCTCTAATAAAGTTACTATGAATCATTTATCAGGTACGTAATGTTAATATATAGATTTAGCCAAGGCCAAGAGCGGAGCTCCCGTGGGAACTTTAAAGAATTTCTTTCCTTTGCCTGCGATCACTTGAATACCATAACTGGTCACCGGAGAACCTAAAAAAAAACATGTCACTTCAATGAGTTTTGCACCTGAGCCCACGATATAATCATATACCCTATTTTGACAGCTGTCAATTGATTATTACATGGATGTCCAATGTCAAGTTAACACAATTTGTATATGCCTTGGACTTTCAAGTCAGTAAGACATTTCACATCCGCTAACATGGACAGGGGGGAGGGAAGTACGGATGGACGATTTTGCCAGAACCCAAATTTCTGGATAACCAAATTTTCTTACCCATGGTGCTTCACTGCGCGCGTGCGAGAGCTCCGCTAATAATACTCAACACAAGAAAGAGTGTTTTGTCAGGATATCAAACACTGAGAAATGGGTTGACCCTTTTACCGATTCGTACTGGAAAAACACGATGCAGCCGACAGCAATTCCGGGGATTTGCATTTTTTTTCTCTCGGTCAGCAGATTGATAACACATTGTATCCATAAATCCATTACGTCTTGTTGTTCATAGGTCTCAAGGTTTATAGGTCTCGTCTCGGTGGTGTTTCTTGTTGTTACGGAAACCATTGTTGGTTGGCTTTTGTGTTGTGGTGTGGGCATTGTTCCGTGTCTTTTCAACCTTTTGTATTCTTCTCGTCGTTTCGTCGTTTTTGCTGTTCCAAGTTAGGTGTTTTTAGTGTGAGGACTTTCGCTTTGGTTTGAAAACCGCTCTAATGCTGGGATTCTCTTTGTCTTACCAGGAAGCAATAACCGTATAGAAGCAAACAATTATATGGAGCAAAGCAAGGCTAACAACTTACCAAACTCACTGAATCGCTACAACGAGCACGTGAACAGGAGCAACAAGTTTCCAGATTCCCCGGCAAGCTGTAAGTAAAATGAACGTATCAAGTTAAGCTAGTATCAAAACCGTTTGTATAGGTAGGAGTACAGAGCGTATCGTTGTGTTTTGTAATGGAAAAGGAACAGTCCACTCAAGTTTCTCCAGTGCCAACCTCTCGTTACAAGGAATCCGCTTCGACGAAACGCTAGAACTTGAAATTTCAGCATTGGAGGGTTCGATAGTGTTGCGTGATGACACAAAAAAACGGCTGTGTTGGGGTCCAAGCGCGCATGAGAATCGCTGCTCCGCGTGTCACCTTCCCCGGGGGTAGCGATTTTCACGCGCGCTCGGGTATTTCTGTCACTCTACTATCCCTGAGGAAATGAAGTATTACTCGTAGTCTATCGTAGGCTTGTTACGTTCACACGCATTTGTTAACTCATTTTGTTTCTTTTATAGCGTGTGGGACACCAAATGGATCTAGAGGCGCGTCTGATAGCACTCTTCCAATGAGTATTCCTAGAGAAAGACTTCGTTACTACGACTACACACTCGATGGCGGCCCCAACAGAACCAAGTCCAGGAGAAGGGACCCTAATCAGACACCGAGTGATACCAGTGATACGGAGAAAACTAAACCCAAGCTGAAAATCCAGTCGTTCGAGATGGCCGGAAACTTGCACAATACGAGTACATTCCACTCGGAGCCTCCACCAACATACGAGGCTGTGCTGAAAGAGACCGAGATGGAGATGAAGAAATACCCGGTTGGTGGTGCCAAGAGCACGGACGACGATAGGGAAAATGGTGAAGGAGAGAAAGAGTTAGAGGATGTTACCAAGGAGACGGGCAAAACCGATTCACCTGAGACGGCTGCTTTGGAAAGGCCATCCAGCCCAGGAAGTGAGCGAAGTTGTAAAACATCAACAAGTTGTGGGTCACTTTCAAGGAAGAGAAAGGCTCTAAAACCACCTCCTCGGCTGGCTATTTTCAACTGGGCAGATCTTCTACCTCCCCCGCCGGTGGAGCCACCGCCCAGCAGCTTGGGTTCCCCTCCCCCCTCTCCGCCTTTCAGTGAACGAAGTGCCATGACGGGAATGACTGGAAGAACTGGAATGAGTGGCATGAGTGGAATGACTGGTATGAGTGGCATGACAGGAATGTCCGGAATGACTGGAATGAGCGGAATGACAGGTCAAAGTGGATTAACCGGCAAAAGTGGATTGACAGAACCCATGAGTACCAGCTCTCCAAGTCGGCGTCGTAAAAAGAGAGATGGTGCGACCAACGACGGAGAACTGGAATCTATGGCGAGCAAGTCGGAAAAATCAAAAAAATCTCGGTCGAAGCCCAAGCCAATTCCGATAGATCTGGAGGGCATCACCAGCGACATCATTATGCAATGGGCTGAGTCTGTAACGAACACGAGTGGATCCGAAGATGATTCGTCGGCATCCAGCCCGAGCCGAATTAGCGGAATCAGCAGCGACGGTTCATTCTTCACAGATGCGGACTTTGCACACGCCGTGCGCGTTGCCGCCGAATGCGGCGGATTTAATACGGATGCGTACGGACTAATGGACTCCCTTGGGATACCTCCCCCATATGCCGCGGCCCCCGGCTGGAAGCGAAGTAATTCTTTTTCCAACGATAATGAGGCTACCGTAGGAACGGCGGCCATGTATGGACCGCGTCCTCTCAGAAAGAGATGGGAGACAGGGAGCGAAGGTGACCTTGAGTACACTCCGCCTAATCGTGTACGTCCGAGGTTAAGACGCGATAACGAAAAAGGACCCAATGATACAGGTCCAAATCCCATGCGGACTCCCAGAGGGGCCCCGGGAGAGCTTGTAAGACATGCACCCGGTATGCGCGCTCCCGTACCTATTGTCCCTTCACAGCCAAGGAGACCGCTTCATAGGGCGGCCCGACCAGGGGGACCCCCGGGGCAAATAAACCCTGGGATTCTTGTCCAGCCGTTGAAGAAGACAACGACGATAAGCGGAGCGGAGCCACGTGAGCCTATTAAGAAGAAGTACGCTATAGTAAAGAAGATCCCACAGAGCCAGGAAACTGAAAAAGTTGTGGGATATAACAGCGCGAGCATGAGCTCGAGCAAATCAAGCGCCAGCACCAGTACAGCAAGTACAGTAAAGAGCAGTTCTTATGCTGCGTCAGCGCGAGGCGACTCCGAGGCAGATGAGGTGAGCAGCAGTATTGTTTTCATTGTTAAGGGAAACTGCCCACCTACCCCTCCCTAACCCAGCATTTTGTCTTAAGTGGAAAGGTCATGTATCTAATACATAATTGTAATCCGAGGATCCCGGGTTTAGATTCCATTCCATGTTTGGAGTCCCCGGTAAGGGAAATTCAGGGGTGCTTACCAGTAGTGAGTGTGAAACGGTAAATATCTTAATATCGGTTAATGACGTAATTACCATGTTATTAGTATCAGTATTATCAATGTGTCGTTATTCTTTTTTGATTTAACCTTTTTTTGTTTTCTTTGTTTACAGAATGCTACGTAGGACTCATGGTGAAGTCTTGGTACGTACGTATAGATGACAAGAAGTCAACATAAAGAAAAATTATTGTAATTACTATACCCCAGCTGATAAAAAAATTCTAGGCTCCCTTATTCTAAAGCTTTAGCAACGTCCGTTTAAAGGTAAATAACTAGGTAGGGT